GTATGTCTTTCTCTTCTCCTTTCTTGTTCGCTTTTAGTCTTGCTCGTTCAGCTTACTTGCTGTCTCTTTTTATTCTCTCATAAATTGTTTTCACACTGTCTCTGTAGAAGGAACATTGTGCACACAAAACAAATAAGACTGGCAAATATATAAGCAAAATTTGACTAGCGTATGCTTGTACAAGACAAATTGTACAAAACACATCCAAAAAAATACATCCGAAAACATAATACGTAAACACTTGTTCCGATCTCTACATACAATAAACTGAGTTTTCCGCCGTGTTTCGATGTTATCACTCACAGACTGACTTCAAGTAAGCGATACACTCAACTTCCGTCAAAACTGTTGCGACTAGCCTATCACCTTAGAAACTATACGACATAAAGTTATTTTACTCCCTAAACAGGAAAGCGAACGAAAGTGGCACTCAGACAATTAACAATGCTGTTGTTGTTTTTGCTTCTGTGTATACGATGCATATTTTTACACAATTGAGTTAATGAGAAGATTTTTATTCCGGATGGAAATATGTCGTAGAACAACTACATCAATAAGCTCCACAATACTGAAGCGCCGGCGTGTTTACCTCCTTCCTCGCTGCTCTTCACCATCACTCCCACTATTTCGTCATCCCCACTTTCGTTCCGAACAGTGACTACTGCGTTCGTGTATTTCCGCAATCTCCACTCACCACCCATCATCTCCTCGTCTTACTGTGGCATTTCACGATCACGTTTTTTTTATGTTAACCTTCTTTTTCAATCTATGCCGTTTCTACAAATAACATTATTTATTTTTCTTCATCAAAGATTCAATCATTCTAAAAATTATTATTCTAAAATATTATTAAAGTACCTCTGTTTTTATTCATATCAAGTCTTCCAAAAGTAACGGACTCCTCTATCTCAGAATCTATGCATTATAGGGAAAAATGACTCGAACAAAAGTTTTAGGATTCATAAAGTTCTGTTTTTTGTGACCTCAAATTTAACCTTGATCTCGACCTTGAAGGTCATTTGAAGGTTAACTTGCGTTTTTTAAATGGGAAACCCTATTTTTTATTACACTATTTTTTTCTGCCAATTAATTTGAACTGTTGTCTAAAACATTATTTTATTTGCCTAATATTTTTTTAGATATTTGAGGAAAACTTGATAACTTTTTCAATATTTAACTTACGATATCTCGCTAACTATTTGTCAAAAGAAAAAATGGTACTAGACTTTCTTGCTTTATTTAGTCTCAAGAATTTATTGTTATAATAACGCCTTGACTTTTGCTAACTTACTGACTTTTGGAAATATCAAAATCATCAGATTAACAAAAATCAGAGCACTATTGTAACAATATATTCTTGAGACTAAATAAAGCAAGAAAGTCTAATACCATTTTTTCTTCCGACAAATAGTTAGCGAGATATCGTGAGTTAAATATTGAAAAAGTTATCAAGTTTTCCTCAAATATCTCAACAAATATTAGGCAAATAAAAAAATGTTTTAGACAACAGTTGTTCAAATTAATTGGTAGAATAAAACAGTGCAATAAAAAATAGGGTTTCCCATTTAATAAACGCAAGTTGACCTTCAAATGACGCTTAAGGTTGAGGTCAAGGTTAAATTTGAGATCACAAAAAACAAAACTTTATGAATCCTAAAACTTTTGTTGGAATCATTTTTCCCTATAATGCATAGATTCTGAAATGGAGGGATCCGTTACTTTTGGAAAACTTGGTATTTATCTCCCATTTCAACTATACTTAATTTTTTTAATATTTTGTCTCTCTAGAATTCATGTATTTCATGGTTTGCCCCGTCATATCTTTTTGAGTGTCCCGGATCAGTACGAATAAAGTGTACGAAATCCATGCGATTATTTTAAAAGGTAAATATTACATTTATTCATAAATAAGAATATAGAAATTATGCTAAATGAAGAATTTCTAAATTTTTAATTTATCAGGTATTTTATTTTATTATATTTTACACGCAAAAATTTATATCAACTACTTATGTCTACGCGTAACACTATTAACCTTTTGTAATAGAATTATTATTTGCCGTTCATCACATTTTTTTTAATTTCTAACTTTCTTCTACAGGAATGTTAATGAAAACTTTCTTCAAAGTATTCAGAAAGGTTCACACTTTCTTCATTTATTTTTCTGATTTTAAGATACATTTTAAGAAAGATAATTGTATTTCTATTTTTTTATATGTCAGCAGCACGGAAATTAGTGAGCTGGCCTTTTCTGAATATCTGCTAATTTCAAAATAATATTTTATTTATTAAACTTACTCTCTTAAATTTCAGATGGAGAATTATATAGAAACAGAGACCGAGGAAATAAAAGATATGGCGAATGGTAAATATAAAAATAATTCAAACCCAGCAAACACAGAATATAAATGTTATATAACACAGAAGTAACATGCAATATAACTGCTGTTACATGTTATTAATATTGAGGTTATATAATTTCCTATTATAACTGCAATGTAATTACCTAGATAAAAATTCGTAATGATCACGTTTTATCATAACGTGATGTCATGCTATGAATCCAATTTGATACCATTTTATAGATCATTACGTGATTAACATAATATGAGAACAAGATGTACACAAATGATATATAATATGTGTGCATATTGTAGATCTAATTTTGATTATAATTGAAGATGACATATAATGGACAAATTATGTACAAATGACTAATAAAAATGTAGCAAGAAGTCGTAGAAAGCTGTGCTTAGCAATTAAGTAGCAAACTTTAGTAGTAATTGTGAGGAAATAGAAATTTATTAAATTAGTTGGATTTTAAATATACTCGAGTAGTCCATATCAATTATTTAACAGATTGCCGCTAGAAATTCAATACCGGCTCAATGTATTATATGGTTAAGCCAAGCGTGTAGATAAATAATCATGAAATGAACTCATAGTTTCAACATAATTGAAGAATTGCGAATGCTCATACTATATAAATAATATTTTTTATAATATCCCAGATAGCCAAACCTGCGCAAACAGATTCTGAACAGAACCTGTTGACAGATTTTATTGACAATAAGGCTACAGACTGTAGACAAAATCTGCTATGTCAGGCGATGTTGCCAAATTGATGTCAGTTATGCGACAGAATCTGCACACATAATATCTGACAGTAGACTGGCGGCAGATTGCGAGCAGAGTCTACGTATATATAATCTAACAGCAGTTTGGCGACAGATTGCGAGCAGAGCCTGCACACATAATCTGATGGCAGATTGACGGTAGAATGTGAGCAGACTCTGCTCATTTTTCCGCAGACTCTGTTAGTCATTTCATAAATTATTTTATTAAGGACGGATTGTGTTCCATCTTCTTGGTAAGCTAACTAACAGTTAAAACATGAGTTTGTCTTTATTTAAACATGCAACAAAAAGTACAAATATATAAATATTCGTTTATTACAAGTTTTTCTTAGCTACTGTGCATACATCGAATGTCTTCTATAAATTTCTTTAATTAATATGTATAGATTGTTACTGGGACTTTAAATTATTAATCAGCAAGCTGCGAGAAACTATATGCAAGATAATTTTTCAAGACAATTGACTTCCTGACAATTAGTAAAGAAATCTACAATAGTTATAGCAAGCCTTAAACCCGTTCTACAATAGAATATTTCACGATATAATTAGCTCTGTGTAGCTTATCACAGAGCTTTGAATGTATTATATATAAACTAGTATTTAATAATAATATATAAATAAATATAGTATATATAAATTAATGTTAAAAATCGTCTTCAGAGCGATTACTCCAGTTCACTCGAGAACGCTATTGCGGCTTAAGGCTTGCTACACGTATTATATACCCGGCCTAATGGCTCTTGCAAACCAGCACAATACGTGACGCGATACGTGAGATGCGATGCATGATATCCAATGACTGCAGTTCTCCTGTTTCTCCGGAATAACTGAAGGCTCATTAGATATCGCGTGTCGCGCGTTGCATGTCGCGTCGCTCATCACGCTGGTCTGCGAGAGTCATAAGGGACTGTGTACGCTTTTGGGAGTGTTCCCATATTTACTGCCAGTACTAAAAATATATAGTGTACGTAACGTTAACTATAGACTTTCAATACTGGCAACGAATATTGGAATACAGTGCTGCTTACTAAGCGCTTAGTGATTATCGTTTCTGATTGGTTCATTCCCCTAGATTTGTTAAAGATCTAAATGAATACTCCAATCATAAATAATAATCACAAAGCACTTGGTAAGCAGATTTTCTGCTGAACGCAGCCAATGACTTCTGTTATTAGTAAACTTTGAATTCGGAACCGACTGGGCAATATTGAACTTGCAGATTGGCGAATGCAATTTAACTGGTATATAGGGAGTGCCACGGTCTCACTGGCTGCGTTCAGTAGAACAAAATGTTCAGTGAGCGCTTAGTGATTATTGTCTGTGATTGGAGCGTTCTTTTAGATTCTTCGTAGACCCAGAAGTATTTACCAATCAGGAGTGAGAATCATTAAGCGCTCACTGATCATTTTGTTCCACTGAACGCAGCCATTGGTCGCATTCAGCAGAAAAATTGCTCCGCTACCGTTCCGTAGCAAACGTCTCTGATTGGTACGTCTGTTCGGCCTTGCCAAAGATTTTAAAAAATTCTCCAATCATGAACATTTGCTACTGAGTAGTAGCGGAGCAGTTTTCTCCACTGAACGTGACCATTGTTTCAAGTGCGACTGTCGTTACATGACGTATAATAGAAAGTCAGTGCATAGTGTTTTGCTCGGGACGTATATTTGCTGCAAAACGAAATTCGGCCAAAAAAATACGTAATTATGGAAAAAAATTATTATAAATTATCCGCGTCGCGCAAATCGGTGCATAAGTTGTGTAGAAGACAACAAATTAGGGTTATGTCGGAGATCAGAGAGAACTTGAGTTCATAAAATTCCCCTGTATGTACCATTGTCGATAGGGAATCAATAAAGAATAATAATGTTAAAGATAATCCTGGCTCATCAATTCCAGGCTGTAGTTTTTGGAACAATAGTCTTAATGTTTCCACTGATGATTATGGTATTAGGGATGACACTCATATTATTAATGAATCTTCTTGTTCTTTCTCATCTTCCTCATCTTCATGCGTTTTAGATATTAATAATACGTTGTCATTATCTTCCCATGATTTATCACAAACATCCTTTCGTGAACGATTAGCATCTTGCTTTGTCGACAATAAATTAACTCACGTGTAAGGTAATAATGTGTTATCTCTCCTTCGAACACATCCTTGCTTTCCGAATTTCCCTAAAGATGTGAGAACTCTTCTTCATACACCACGAAATCAAGTTGTTACATATAACGTAGAGCCAGGAGAGTACATTTGATGTGGAAGCAGGTATCGTTGAAAGTCTGTCGAACGTTTCATTAACATTTATTCCTACACAGCTTCAATTAGATTTTAATACTGATGGATGCACATTGGATAGAGCAGGTACTATTCATATCTGGCCTATACAATGTAGAGTATATAATATACAGTAGGCAAAACTCTTTGTTGTAGGGATTTATAAAGGTGCACATAAACCTCATGATGCTAATATCTTTTTCGAAAAATTTGTTACTGACATTAGAACAATCCTATCAAATGGTGGCATTAACTTTAATGGTAATAAAGTACCAATACAATTGAAATCATTCATAGCAGATGCACCAGCTCGAGCTTTTGTTCTTAATCATGTTGGCCATATATCTTCGCAACCATGTTCCAAATGTAAAGTTTCAGGCACACAATGTGAACGTCGTAATGTCTTCCATGGAATCAACCATTCTTTGAGAAATGATGACGAATATATCAGATGTGTAGACGAAGATCATCATAAAGAAGGCACAAGCCCATTATCGTTGCTTCCAATAGGTATGGTATCGCAAGTGCCTTTCGAGTACATGCACTTAGTGTGTTTAGGTGTAATGAAAAAGTTATTGTCTGCGTTAGTATATGGGAAATACATACGCAGAGCAAAACTCTGTGCAAAATCAATTTCTATAATTAATACTAGGTTGAATATTCTTCGACAATATTGTCCTACTGATTTCGTAAGACGCCCTAGACCTCTGGATGCATGCTCCAAATATAAAGCTACAGAGCTTCGTCAGATTCTTTTGTACACAGATATTGTTGTTACTTATGGTGTGTTAGATGAACAGTTATACAAGCATTTCCTATTATTACACTGTGCTATAAGAATTTTAGTATCACAATCTCCATTGAACAAATATCTTGATTTTGCACAACTTGCACTGCAAAAATTTGTCCTTCGTTGTGGTTCTCTCTATGGTGCTACTTTCTATTCATACAATATACACGGTCTTCTCCGTCTCACTGACGATGTCAGACGTCTTGGAAGTTTAGATTCCTTTTCACCTTTTCCATTTGAAAACAACATATCCATTTTTAGGAAATTTTGCAGGAAGCCAGGTTTACCTCTGCAACAGATGTTTAATAGAATGCAGGAAATACAGATGCACCGAACAAGTGATAATCAGAAAATAGATTTTTCTATTCGTGTCTCCATGCCACTTAATAATAGTGATCATTGTCCTCATTATCGTAAGATACAATTTGGTAAAATAATGTTAGGTATAGACGTACGAGACAATTGCTGCATCTTATATGATGGATCAATCTGTATTGTTTCGAATATCGTTGTACACAATTCTTCGCATTATTTGCAAGTAAGGAAATTTTTGGAAGTAGATAATTTTTATGATATTGGAATAATATCTTCAGCTGTTAAAATTTATAAGTGCGGCAACTTGAGCAGTGATTTTATAAATGTTAATGTAGACCAGGTTTACGCAAAATGTTATAGAATCCTCTTTTGGGGTTGTACATTAATTGATGATAGTGAGAGTGACGAAGACAGCCATTCAAAAACAACGATGTACATTATTGCTGCGATAATACATACTGAAATAATATAATATGTTCTACATAATGTTTTTTAGCATTTATTATGAAAGAATGCGACAAGAAGTGCATGATTATTTGATGTCTTGTATTTATGGGCTTAGAATATTTCTGCTTGATTAGTCATTTCTCTGGTTTTATCTTCTTCTTTGTCTGTTCTGCATTTCTATTTCTCGTATTCATTGTTTCAATATCTGTACAATTTTATCGGATAATGCACATGCGAATTTGTAAATAGAAAAATATATAACGTGAAATGGACGGTAAGAGTATTAAATTTCTTCATTATTTGTCATACGAATATAATAGAATATATCTGTCATACACATTCTGCATTTTAATGTTTCATATATTTGTGCTTACAGAAATGGAACGACCAAAACGAATAGTGGGTAAACCATCACGCTACGAAACCACATCGCCGGGCGAAGTCCTGAAACGCACAAAGATAGGAACAGCAAAAATACTTAATACGAACATTAACACGTTGACTGCCACGGAATTTTTCACGATTCCGGTCTAAAGAGCCAATTTGATTAAATCATGTTATATTATTAAAAACTTTAATAATAGTACATAGTAATAATCAAAAAGCTTAAAAAATGTTTTTTTTTTTAAACATTTTTTATTCTCTTTCCTGAGGCCATCTATTTTTATATTTACACTGCTATGCTACGAGTTTCCTCGTAGCTGTACAAATATGGCAAGTAATGAAGAGACGAGATAACTCGTAGTAGGCGTCCTGGGCAAGTAAACAACCTACGAGATATCTCGTAGTTGGCAGTCAACGTGTTAATGACGACATAGATGATATTCGAAGGACTCTGGAAAGTAACGCACAAAGTAATAATAATGAACATTTTGACAATTCTTTGACACACACATACGTTGAACCACACACGCCCGTAATACCGCACATGTACACACAACCAAACACAAGTAATATATTATATTTAAAACTATCTCAAGTTCATCTTCAGATACTCAGTAGCCAATGAAATGACCCATACATTATCTCAAGATAAACTTAAGACGTTCTTAAATATAAGATCCGACTATGAATACCGGCCTTAGTGTTAACTTTTGATCACAAATGCAAACAGTGAATTTTATGTAATACTCATTACCATGTAATATTTATTATTTATTATAATATTACAGATGAATTACGATAAAGAATTTGTAAATTTCCATCCTTTTTGGAACAAAAAATGAATAGTCCAAAACATGTCCATGTACGAACATCCATTGGACGTACAGTATATATCCATACATTAATTATATAAAGTGGATTTCAAATGGATGTCCACTGGATGTATGTTTATTATTAGTCAATGTACGTACTTATATGGACGTACAATGGACAACTATTTTATGTCCATGGATATATGAACGTAAAATGGACGTAAAATGGACGTCCATAAGACGTATTGCGCTATTTGGGAAGATACCGAAAAACAAAACATAGGTGTATGAATTATGCGAAAAAGAAATTCCAGCCGCAAAACGACATTGCTTTCGAGCACATTTCAGTGGCCTCAACGTTCCGAGTTCTAAATACCAGGTGTGTCGGTAATTCCTTTTCGGTTTTTTCGCTAAAGAAAACACGTTATTTACAATGGATAATTAAAATATATTTATTCAAAGTATTGGCCATTTGATTCTATACATTTTGCCCATCTCTCAGGCAATTTATGGATGCCATTCCAAAAGAACTGTTTCTCCTTTGAGCTAAACCATTCATCGAGCCATTTTTTAACTTCTTCGAAATCGGCGAAGTACTGCTCTGCAAGCGCGTGCCCCATCGATGCGAAAAGGTGGTAGTCGGATGGAGCCAGGTCTGGAGAGTACGGCGGGTGCGATAAAACTTCCCATCCAAGTGATTTCAACACTTCTTTGACTGGTTTTGCTGTATGAGACGGCGCGTTGTCAGCTGCAAAATCACCTTATCATGTCTTTGAGCGTATTGGACGTTTTTCGATCAATGCACAGTTCAAATTGATCATTTGTTGTTGGTAGCGATCAGTATTAACTGTTTCTCCAGGTTTCAACAGTTCATAATATACGATACCAACCTGGTCCCACCAGACACAGAGCATGGTCTTGCGACCAAAGCGATTTGGCCTTGCAGTCGATGGGCCGCCTTCGCCAGGTGATAACCATGATTTTTTTCGCTTGGGATTTTCGAAATAAATCCATTTTTCATCACCCGTTACTATTCAATGCAGAAATGACTTCCTTTCATACCTTTGAAACAGCATTTCACTGACGATTTTTCGATTTTCCAATTGCCTGTCATTCAATTCATGTAGCACCCATCTTCCCATCTTTTGGATCTTTCCCATCGCTTGTAATCGTTCACAAATTGCTACTCGGCTCACATTCAACTTTTCTGCCAATTGTTTTTGAGTTTGTGTTGGGTCTTCATCCAATAACTCCTGCAATTCCGCATCTTCAAACGTTTTCGGCCTACCAGGACGTTTTTGTCTTGAACGTTGAAATCACCACATTTGAATTGTCGAAACCACGTTTCACATGTTCTTATGGTTGGAGCATGCTCACCGTAAGTCTCTACCAGCAAACGATGACTTTCAGCGGCTTTTTTCTTTTGATTAAACAAGAAAAGTAATGCGTGCCGCAAATGCACGTTTTCAGGCACAAAACTCGACATTTTCGAAAAATTATTAATCTATAACGCTGTTATTTTGGCGGAACGTAACTTGTGTAGTTTTGAGGTTAATGTCAGTAGAATAAAATAACATATGTATCAAATCATAACATTGCATACTTATGGCTAGTGACATCTGTTACAAAAACCGGAAAGTAATTACCGACATACCTGGTACAGATTAGAGATGTTTATCGATATTCGAAATTATCGAATATTCGATATTATTTTATTTTCGATATACAAATATCGAATAAAAAATATATGAATAAAAATCGAATAAATATATTTTTCAGCGAATATTTATTGAATTTTTTTTTTAAATGATTTTTTTAATATAAAGCTAAAGTCAGTAGCACACGGTGCTCGTTTTCATGCTAGTTTTAGTGACATACTAGAAATGTTACATTCTGATTGGTTGCGTTCAGCAGAACAAAGTGATTAGTGAGCACTTAGTGATTCTCGCTCCTGATTGGTAAATACTCCTGGGTCTATGAAGGATCTAAAAGAATGCTCCAGTCACAGACAATCACTAAGCGCTCACTGATCATTTTGTTCTGCTGAACGCAGCCAATATTACATATAACGTGCATGTTAGTAGTAATTTCCTACTCAACAATAACAGTTATATTGTTGAGTAGAAAATTACACAACTAACATGCACGTTACATGTAATATTAGGCCTGTTCGTTTTGTCTGCACTGTTGAACTGGTGCAACAAGTTGAAGTGAGAAAACTTACGTTTGTCTCACTTTAACTTAATGTATCAGTTCAGCAGTGCAGACTAAACGAACAGGCTTATTGTGTTTGCTGGGTTCTTATTGGCTACCGAATTATTCGACATTAATTCGATATTTTAACTGCTTATTCGATATCGATATGAGTACTTTTAAATTTGGCGAATTCAAATGCGAATTCAAATGCGATATTTTTTTTCGATATCGACATCTCTAATACAGATGCAAGACGCTCTTCGGACGCTTCGGACAGCGAAGGAACGACACCGCCACAGAGGACGTAATCAACGTAGAACGGCAGCCGGTCCAAGGATACAGCGCGACTTATGGACGGACGAGCGTGCAGACGAGGAAGAGGAACAGGACCAGCAAGACCCGAAATAAGGTATATAGCACTGTTGAATAAATACGCAATATTTACAAGATATTGTGAAAATATAGATGTTGAATATTTCGTAAATATTCTAATGTCCGACATTTTCAGACATGAAAAGGGTATGATAAGTATCTAAACATGTTTGTCATACGTATGTTTATAAAAAGAATTCCGATTTATAAAAGATGTATGAACAATATCATAAATATTTTTAGATATTTATCATATTTTTTCCATAGTTGAAAATCTCAGACATTAGAATATTTATAATATATCCAACATCTTTGTTTTTAAAATATCTTGTAAATATTGTGTGGTATCTGAACAGTGAGGAGTGATACATCTGCTGGAAATATTTAGCTGAATTTCTCCCTCACATATGACGCAATTTCAATATTATTTCGTTAATGGCTGCGTTCAGCAGAACAAAGTGATCAGTGAGCGCTTAGTGATTATTTTGTCTGTGACTGGAGCATTCTTTTATATTTTTCATAGGCCCAGAAATATTTGTCAATCAGGAGCGAAAATCACTAACCGTTCACTAATCATTTTGTTCTTCTGAACGCAGCCAATGTATACAATTTTCTGTAATATTCAATACATTTCACGATATGTTGTTTAATATGTATATATTGAATATCACTGAAAAATGCCTACATTCATGAAATAATACAGAAATAGGGTCATGTAAGAGAGAAATGTAGCAAAGCATTTACAGCAGGGATCATTCCTCACTGATTACTGGTAGTAAAGTTATATGTTCTTCAATTTTTCATTTCCGTTCCCTGTATTTTATTTGACCTCATCTATTAATCGCGTCCGTCATATATATTAAAAAATATAAAAAATTTCTATATTTACAGATGCATGGGACGAGGATGAGGTCGAAGCACTCACGGTCGCAGGAGGTCGAGAGAGAGAGGGAGATGGAGAGAGGGGGAGAGGGAGGGAGAGGGAGAGAGAGAGGAGGGTGCAACATGCACGCACACACACGCGCGCATGTGCGCGCACACACACACATACACACGCACGCACATATAACACGTTCTCTTCTCGAAGAGAGAGGAGTAAATCGGTACTTTTCAGCACCTATTTTTAAAACATAACGGGAACACCTCAGTGCAATAAAAGGCATTTTTGAATGCCAATATCTGAATCGGCACTTTTTAGTGCCAACTTAGGCTAATATTACATATATCGTACAAGCTTTTCGGATACATTGATTGGCGTACGCGGAGCAATCCTAGAAATATTCTGTTTGTTGACTAATCAACATATTCGAAAAGATTGTTGTACGACAAATGTAATATTAGCCTTATATTTTAGTGTATTTTTGACACTGTAACAAATTAAAAAAATTGTTACATTAATAATAAATCATTAAGTATAATTTGTAAAATATTAATAAAAATTTATTAACATATTTGATTTTACTTAATAATTAAGCGGGGAATACAGATTCGTGCATAATATATAATTGACCAGCAAATGCATTATCAGAAGTCATTTCCAGCTGTACGTAAACAATGAATGATTCTAATAAATTCATTTGCTTTTGCATTGTACATTATACACTTGGCCAAAATCTGTACTCCTTGCTTTACTTGAACCTAAGCTACCTGGTTGAAGTGGGAGGGGTGTAATAAATGAATATGGCAGAATCTGCTCGATATTTGGCGCCAATTTGCTGTGGAATTTTATCATTGAGCTTTGCTCGGTATTTGACGTCAACTTGCTGCAAGGTTTTGTCGCCAAGCTTTGCTCGGTATTTAGCGTCAATTTGCTGTAGGGTTTTATCGCCAAGCTTTGCTCGGTATTTGGCATCAATTTGCTGTGGAGTATTATCGCCAAAGTTTGCTCGATATTTGGTGACAATTTGGTGTAATGTTTTGTCTGCAAACCTTGCTGGGATCTTGGCGCCAATTTGCTGTGGAGTTTTGTCAGCCAGTCTTGCTCATTATTTGGCGCCAATTTTCTATATAGTTTTGTCAGCAAGCCTTGCTCATTATTTGGCCCCAATTTGGCATCAGAATATGTATACAAGCTTTGCTAGCAAATTCCGATGCTATTGAGGACACAGATGGCACCGGATTTGACAGCAAACTTTATACAAGTTTGGTGCCAATTTGGCAACAATTTGCTACCAAATTGTTTGCTGAGCAATATTCTCTAAAGATAAAGTACTTTTATAGCTATGGCACTTGAGATTTTTCCCTAAAGCTTGTATATTGACAATTCGATTTCCAACACAAGCGGATTTTGTCGATGCACATGCATTTTGCTGATCTTGCAGCATTGAAACTATCACTACGACATTCTTGCCATCGCTTAGAATTGACCTCTCGCACCTTTTCCCTTAGTCGTATTTCTTGTTTCTTCATAAACCTACCTTTAAATCGCGATTTGTCTGACGACATTTCTGTATGCACCTACATACGCGCTGCGTGATTGTTATAGGTTATAGTGGTCGTGTTGTTGCTGAGCGAACAGCTATGATAATGCAACGTTGCCACTCGTTCTCTCTCGCATTCAACTACGTAGTACATGCGATTGATATATTTCAATATTTATTTTTCTTTTTTATTAATATGCCGTAGTAATGCAGTACAACTTCATGTTAATTATTTATTCGATTTTTAGTATAAGAAAAGATACATATTTTTATATTTCTTTTTTGTACTTTATGTTGATTTCCTCAGTTGGGGAATAACTACCTTAACAGCGCACTAACATAGTTATAAGCATGTTCTGAATATGAGTCATTGGCCCATATTCAGAATGCTCCTCGTCGCGTGCGATCGCCTTTTGTTGCTTACGTTGCCCCTCGCCGCGCGCGCTTGCCTATCGCCACTCGCTGACTCCGCCTGTATCAAATGTCTACGTGCTTACTGCGATCGCCCTCCGCTCTCTACGCGCTCGTTGGCCCACATGTTTTAATTAATAACTCGGTAACTATTGCCAATTTGACATTATGGTACATGACTTTTCTTCTCAGCTACACCCAATCTATCTCCAACTTTTGTCTACATGATCAGCTATCAAACACCCTGTATAAGCGCACTAACAGCTCCTGTCACATTTAGAAATAATAATAATTTATTTATAATTTATAATAATAATTTATAATAATTTATAATTTATAATAATAATTTATAATAATTTAAATCAATTATTGTTTTATTTTCTTCGGCAGAAAAATTTTCCCTTCTCTTGTCGCTCATCTATAAAGATACGAACACGTATATTTATTAAAACTATCCGTTGTTAAGAGCAAGCAATGAATAATAAATAAGCAATGTAACAAAATTATAAGAATGAAATGTAAATTAATATAATAAATAAACTTACTATACACTTACTATACACAATATAATAAATAAACTTACTATACACTTACTATACACAATATAATAAATAAACTTACTATACACTTACTATACACAATTTGATAATATATCAGAGCACTCCACTTCGCAAAAATCGTCAACGGACATTTGAACATCGCTGGGCGACGCGCGTCTCGTACTCTTGCCACATCCATATTACGCGATATGAAAAGAACCAATAGCTACATACTGCTCGGAAACGAGCACTCTTATTGATTGTCATTGCGTCTTTAGGTAATAGTGCTCTGTTCTTGCGTTCTGCATACGAGCGTTAACAAGCGCACCTACATCTCGCGTATTTAGAAGCGTATATGTCAGCGTATATGTTAGCGCGTTCTGAATATGGGCCATTGTGTATATATTAAACAAGACAACATAACAGACAACAAACAAGACAACATAATTATATTATTGTGTATATATTAACAGACAACATAACATACCTCACGTGAATCCTTTCTCAGCTGCCAGTTACTTCGACCTATATTTCTTATCCACAACATTTGCATTTCCTTTTCTTATGGAAAAGAACACATTTTACTTCCCTTGGTCAATGCACTCTTACAATTTTTTGCAACACATTTAAGCATTTTATGCTATAATAAAGAACAGATTATATAACTTATACCTACACGTATATTTACACAATATATTGACTGCTACATATATTTTTATATTATCTATTTTATAAAAATATTAATTACAATATATAGAACACAAAACCTCACTTTTCTTTTAACACACTTTCACTATGTACACTTCTTTTTCTTTTTCTATAGCAGCGAGCATAAATGCCATTGGCGGGTTATAGACGACATATAACTTTAATCGTAATCAGCTGATTCTTTAGTTCATATTTCTTGTTTCTCCGCCTTTTACCTAGCAATGTTCACGGAACTTTACCGGAAGCGGACCCAAACATGGCGGAACCAATCAAAACGCTGACATATGGTGTCCGTATTCTCCCTTGAGGTACACTAGTGCGAAAAATCGGTGTCGCCGAAAACACTGTGTTGGCCGCTCTCAGGCTCCTCTCTGACTGAACTGAATACTTTTGAAGGTTATGTTGGGCCTTTCGCCAAACTATGTTCTTTTTAATAGCTATATGTCATTGCATAATCACAAAAGAGCGGGAAAATTTATTCAATTTAAAATTGATTTCATAAAATTAATTCAATAATTTTGAAATTTCCAAAAGTCGATAAGTTAACAACAGTTAGGGCACTATTATAATATATTCTTGATAGTAAATAAAATAAGAAAGTCTAATACTATTTTTTCTTTCGACGAATAGTTTACGAGATATTGTAAGTTAAATATTGAAAAAGTTATCAAGTTTTCCTCAAATATTTCAAATATGTCAAATATTTCAAAAAATATTAGACAAAAAAATGTTTTAGACAATAATTGTTCAAATTAACTAGTAGAAAAAAGTGTAAAAATAAGGGTTCCCATTTAAAAAACACAAGTTGACTTTCAAATGACCTTGAAAATAGAGGTCAAGGTCAAAGTCAAGGTCATAAGGCAGCTCACTTAAATCCCTATAACTTTTATTCAGATTATTTTCCTTGAAACTTCAATACTGAAGAGTTATTTGGGGTAAGACATTAAAATGAGATATCCTATATAACAATATGTTCTTGATACTAAATAGAGTAAAAAAGTCTAGTATTATTTTTTTTTTCTGACAAATAGTTAGCGAGATGTTATAAGTTAAGTATTGAAAAAGTCATCAAGTTTTCCTTAAATATCTCAAAACATATTAGGTAAATAAAAAAATGTTTCAGACAAAAGTTGTTCAAATTAATTGGTAGAAAACGATGATATAATAAAACATGGGGATTTTTGTTTACAAAAAATTAGTTGACCTTAACCTGACCTTGGCAACGCCACTCAAAGTCAAACTGATAAGATCAGTAAATACATCGTTTTGAGTCTTATAACTTTTGTCTGAAACACTTTTCTGTAAAACTTATGTTTTTCTAAATTTTTGAATGTTGCCATCTTTTTTCCTCACACTATATGTGGAGAGAAAATATATAAATCCAATTGAAGTAACTGCTTATGTTTGCTGTTATGGCAGCTTGTGATCACTACATTTACTTGAATGAAAACATTTTTTTTCATTCAACAGCATCTTTTCTGTATTCATTAAAACATAAATTTTCAGGAATGTTAGTTATTATCCTATATTTATAAAATGTTTTAAAACAATAAGAAAGATATGAAATATATAATTTATTTTAGTTTATATTTTATATTTATTTGCAATTGGATATGCTAAGTATTTTCTAAGTGTTAGGTTATTTTTTTTCGAAACTTTTCGTCATTAAAATTGCTTCAAACAGACTGAGATATTTAGTATAATCTAAGACTATTAGTTTTTGGTGTTTGTATATAGAACATTGTATTTATTATATTATTTTTTTTATTTTCAATTGATGTGATATTTTAATATTATTACTTATGCACAAATTAGTGACATGATTTAATTATTTGATATAATTTCTCTTATAGAAAATACAAATTTAAACGATTTACTTTAATTTTTTTATATATTTATCAATAAATTTTAAGATTTTTTTTATACTTTGGCGATATTTCTTTTTGTATTGTCTAATTCAAGCGAGAACGTGCGTAAAGTTGGCGCCTGTATGTTTTTACTTTTTAAAAATCATTTTTACATGTGTTAATCTTTTACACAGTTTTGAAATTTCTTTTTTTCCGATAGCTTATATATTATTACAATCCAACTAGTATGCAAATGCTTTATCTACTATTGTGGTTAAGTGTTTAATTTTTGAAAATTACTATGGAGTTCAGGCATGCTTTATTATTATAAGGACCATCAAAACAGCAATTTTCATGGCAATTGATTTGACTGTAATTTTTTATTTGTTTTGTCAATCTTTACATGACTAGTGTTATTTTTAAATGTTTATTGTTGGTTGACTTCATCTATCCTGACTTTAATTTATTAACACAAAAAAATTTATTAATTATTCTGCATTTATATTAATTATTGAAAAGTCTCAAGAGAAACTAAAATGTACATTGATTTGAAAACCTAAGACTTATATAATTCAAGCACAAGATAAACTGTAATATGTAGTGATCATAAAATTTTTTAAAAATTTATATTGAACAAATATTCTGATTTTACTTTAAATTATTTTCAATGTTATAAATGCAATATACAAATACAACACAAAATTAAGGGCATCTAGAATGCTCCTTATTGATATAAAAAAATTTCTACAAAAAGATTGAGAGTGATTTAGATTCCATTAATTTTGTGCATTATGTTTATATTATATTCATAACATTGAAAATGATTCAAGATAGAATTGAAATATTTATTCAATACAATTTTCTTCAGAATTTTATACCCACCATATATTGCAATTTATTTATTATATTTTGCATTATCCTTGCGTTCGATTTTTATAGGCATTAAGTTTAACATTATCTCGACTTTCATTATATTATAGAACCTTGGAACATACACACTCACACGCACACACACATATACACAAACACATGTATTTTTGGTTTGAAAACTTATATATAAATTATTGATATTTATATTTACATCAATGTGCACCAATATTAGCATTGCAGTTCTTAATTACATTAATCTTATTAGCTTTTTATAAGTGCATTAAATATCTTCAAAGTCTTCCTGATTAATTTTTATTTAGGATTTGTGAAATTGTAAACCTTTAACAATGCAAATCTTAATATTTTTAGCGTCACACAATGTATCGTTGCACTAAAATGTCTAAATCACGAATACAAGGTGATTATTAATTATTATGCTTCAAAGTATCACAAATACCAACGCAACTTAAACAATAGTAATGAGGAAAATCACTTTTTCCTTGTGAATTGGATTGCCACAATATATGCTACTTCTGCTTCTGATAACATTTAGCAGTCTAGAAAATTACCAGCCATCAACAGTTCTAGTGCAATTTCAGGTGCAATGGGAAATTCTGGGATTTCTGTACTACTATTTGTATAGCGCACTTTGTATGTAAAGTACATGCAGACTTTCTGTAAAACGTGTGAGCTGTAAAAAAACAAATGATTGTTTGAAAAAATTATTAGACTTCTAAATAGTAATAACTTCTAAAATTTTTATAATTAGAAATAGGAAAAATTGACATTAAATCCTTTTTCCTAAAATATATTAATATGAAAAGCAACAAATATTACTCTAAATTGGAAAAATACAAAATTTGAGTTTCTGATATTTCTTGTTCCCTTGTACTTACGGAATTTCTCGGAAGTTAACTTCATTAGCTTCATTTTCTGCAAATTGACCAGGACCACTTAACATTGCTTTGATAGTGCCACTTGTCAATGCATGTTCTCGCTTAACAATAAATTCATGTCCATCACTACTGACAAGCTTCACATACATAGCATTTGGTCCTTCACAACCTCCATAAATAGGACCACTCTCTTGCTAAAATTTTTAAAGAACTAATTATATTATTTATTTATTTATTTATTCAAATGTATGTATGTGTATGTGTAGTATATAAGCGCTTTTATCACATATCATATATATATATATCAATAATTAAGAGTGCTATATAATTTAAACTGGAAGCAACAAGGAAACAAACAGCAGGATAAAATAAGAGGAACTATTTTTAAGCAACAGAATTTAATTTGCAGAAGTAGGTACCGCATGCAGGTCATTAGACGATCTGCCTTCTTCTTCTTCAGTTTTATCAACATTGTCTTCTTCATTGGGCTTGATCCAAAGAAAGATTAGTATTAATCAATATTTCAGTTCTACTAAGAGCTTTTTTAGCTTTCCCATAAAAGGCAATAAGGAATAACATTTTAATGTATGATAGCACAGTCCAACAGATATATTTTTATTGTAGAAATACATTGTTACACATCCCTATCACCATGCAGAAATGAAAACATGCAATCAAAAATATTTTTGAACATACCTTTTCAGCCTGCATGTTTACATCATTAGACATGTTTGGTATTGTTATATAAATATCCTTCTGAAACAAAATAGATATAAATGAATATTAATGAGCAATTAAATATATATATATATATAAAGGTGAATAAAATTAAATATATAGATGAATAAAATATATCCAAGAGAATTTCTTATATGGGTCAAATAAGACTATGACAGAACAGTATAAAATTATTGTATGCAAATTTATATAGGACACATAAGATTATCATAAATATTATAATATATTATTATAATGCCATATAATTATATGCCATTATAATACTATATATAATTAGATATTATTTATATATTTGAAGTTCCATTGGTTATAATCTTAGCAACATGTCGAGTTAGGTTACAACATATATAGAATATGTAAAAGTATTTTCACAAAACTAAGTACTGTATATAAATTTATACATTAATTATTTTGCAATCTTGAACAGGATTATTTTAGATTCATATTTGCTACTGATAACGATTTAAAATAAGATAGTTTAATATTATCATTAATGCAATATCGTTGTCATTACTATGGTTAAATTTTTCATTGTGATACTAATTATTTTAATTAAGTACGAATTACATTTTGTTGACAAATTATGAAATGATGAATCGTATCACATACCTCACACGTAACAGATTTTCAGTTATATCAGACTTTTTGATCACAGCAACGTTTGTCAGCAAACGAATCATTCAGGATAGCCAACTAGAAATTTTGAAATCTGTTACATTTCATCGAATGCGTTCAGGGTATCGATCACATAACTTTTCCCCTAGAGTGAAAAGTGAAAAGTGAAAAATTTCTCGTGAAGTCACCCAGCAACACAAAATATTCCAAAATATCATGTATGTGTCTAAAACACATTTAAAAAAGATAAAACGTCATTTGAATGTTCTTAAAACATCTTTTTGTAATTTCATGTTGTTTAACCTTGATCATACAACTAGGGGAAACATGGAAACGTAAAATTTTCACCAACTTTTCACGTAAACTTTTCGTCATTAAACTTGTTAGCGGAAAAGTGAAAATCTAGTGACACGACGAATATGGAATATAAAACCAGCGGCACACGGTGCTTGTTTTCGTGCTGGATTGCTTGCTGGATGAAAATACTGCATCCTGATTGGTGCATTTCCATCCATTTTCAGAAATGTACCAATCAAAAGGCAGTATTTTCATCCAGCAAGCAATCCAGCACGAAAACAAGACCGTGTACCACTGGCTTAATATTGTTACTACTGCGTTGAAAATCAGTCGATCGCGCGCGCATTAATTTTCCTGTCTTCGCACGAAGCCATTGCATTACATTAGTATATTATAGTATAACATTATTATATTACAGTACATTAGTATTTATTAGTATTTATTATGGCTGTAGTATGGTGGGTATTTCAAGTTGCAAACGAAGAAGAAGAAAGAAATTTAAGGATACAAAGGAAAATCTAATCCTTTTGAGATATTGGAGAGTCAATTTATTCTTTTATATCGGTAAACTGCAGCTAATAATAAATTTAAATAAAATGTTACACACGTTATTGTAAATAGTATTAAAAAATATAAAAGTTTTATTTATTAAATATTAATATTAAATTTATTAAATATTAATGTTAAATTAAAGTTTTTATAAGCAAAAGTAAATAAAATTATATCATTTATTTATTAAGTTTTGCTTGCTAAATTACAATTTTTATGTTACAATCTTTATATATAATTAAATATAAGATATATATAAAATATGAAATATATATATATATATAAATCTGTATTATATATACTTTATATATACTTATAGGTATATTAAATATATTAAAGTATTAAAGTATTAAAATAAACATTGAGTGAAAAATATTAATATATGAGTGTTTTGAATATATATGTGTGTAGAATTTTAATATTTATATACATGTATATATATATTTTGTTTATATAGACTATCAAAAGATGCTACATTGGCATTGTGCGAACAGTTACGTCCCCATGTGCATCCACCTGTTAGAGTGACAGCTATACCATTAGAATTAAAAGTACAAGTAGATAAAGATAAATATATTTATGAAAAATTTTTATAAGAATGAGATGTTAGTGAGATATATAATATATTAATTATAGATATTGGCATCTTTAAGTTTTTTAAGTTCTGGATCATATCAGAGAAGAATTGGACAAGATTTTTTAACTTCTATGTCTCAATCGTCAATTAGTGGTGTAATACATCAAATTGTATCTGCCATCAATATGATAATGCCACAATGGATAAAATTTCCTACACAACCAAATAAAATACAGGCTATTCAGCAACAGTAAGCCATAATAAAATTACAATTTTACCTTATCTTAATAATAAGGAGATATTAATCTTATTTAAATTATATTCAAATACAGGAAAACACTATTTATATGTATACAATGTTTAATGTTTTAGGTTTTGAATTAATGCAAATTTTCCATATGCGATAGGAGCTATTGATGGCACACATATAGCAATTAGGCCACGTGAAAAATATAGAGAACATTTATATATTAATAGAAAATTATACCATTCATTAAATATCATGATTGTAAGTATTATACTCTATAACAACAGTAAATTTTATATAAACTGTAAAATACAATACCTTAATATCTATATCATGTAAACGTAACATATGTTAAACAATGTACTAAATCTCTTTGTTGTCTATAGAATAACAATTAACAATTTAAAATCATTTTTGTCCATTAGATTAGTGATTATAATGGTGTAATATTAGCAGTAAAAGCAAATCATGGCGGCTGTACACATGATGTAAGAGTTTGGGCCTCTTCTCAATTATCAGCATATATGTTAAGAGAACATGAAAATGGAAGACGAAATGTGTGGTTAATAGGTATACAAAATATTTAAATATTTTTATATGTAAAGTTTAAAGTTCTATCTCAATATATAACAATACATTGACATTGTAACTGCATGCACCTAGGAGATGCATATCCTCTGTTACCATATTTAATGACTCCTAAATTGAATCAAGTACCAGGATCTCCAGGTGCTTTATATACAGACTGCCATATTAGGGCTCGATTTTCAGTAGAAAGAGCAATAGGAGTCTTAAAAGGGCGATGGAGATATTTGCGCAAAGAAAGAGCTTTAAATTATGTGCCAAAATTTGCAGGTAATATTATTTCTTTGTCTCTTATATTTAAAATATACTGTATTTTAATATTTTATAACTTATTTCAGCATGGATAGTAAATGCAACATGTGTATTACACAATATTGCTAAACAGTATAATGTTCCAGAGGATGATGTATACAGAGAAGACGATATAGAAGAAGAAAACATTGACATAAGGAATAACAACATGGTTGCAAGAGGAAATGCTGTTCGAGAAAGAATAATACAAATATATTTTAATTGACATTAATTATGTATTATATTTCTTTTTAGAAAAGTATTAACATATGTGTATATTTGTATTTACATATGTACATAGACAGGAGAAATACAAATATATTTTAATGAAACAAATATACTGTTTTCATTATGCAGATTAATATAATAATACAGTCTCATACACTAATACTGAAATGTTATGTAAATAAAATAAAATATATACTTGTAGAACATTTTACAACACTTATAAACTACATAAATAATAATTACTCCTAAATAATACTTGTAACAGACTGATTACAAAAAATAAACTTTTTTTTTTACTCACTAATTCAATAGACTGTATTGTAATAAAAAAACAAACATATTGATTTATATTTCAATAACAAAATACTAAAACAAATTAAATATTGCTACTATTTGCATCATTTAGTTCAAATCTTATGCTTCTAAGCTCAGTTAAGATTTTCTTTTGTACTTTTAAGGACTTTTTTCTTATTCTTATTTCTTCTTTCTTTAATTCTAATTTATCCAATTGTATATGTACCATATTTTGTGATAGTTGTTGCATTGATCCTCCTACAATTATAATATTTTTCATTAGTATTATAGAAATTTTATTACTATATATTAAAATAATAACATGTTTCGTTATGATTTATCTTTTCTTGCATTTCTTACTGGCGTCGATGTATAATTTGCTGTTATATTTTCAATATTTTGTTCCTCATCTATTTCTTCTCCATAATTCACTTCCAAATTTTCTGTCGCTATATCACTTCTTCGTCCTATATCACAGTTTATATTATTTATTGCACTCATAAAACCTTCTTCAGGAATATTTTCTAATCCAGCTGCCTCAGATGTTAATAACTGTAAAACTGTTTCTTCAAAATCTTCTTCAAAATCAGAAAATACTATTTTAAGAGGACAACCTCCTCCTTTTTGTTGCATATAACTCCATCTTTTGGTCTTTTTTTTTAATATATACCCTTTTATGTCTTTCCACGTCTACAGAATAATAGTTTAGTTAATACTTTGTTAAAAATATAAATAATAATATTTTATTCCCTGCCCAGCAAACACATGTTATATGTACATGCATGTAGTTTCCTACTCAACAATATATGTTATAACAGTTATATTGTTGAGTAGGAAATTATAACTAACACGCACATTATATGTAATATTGTGCTTACTGGATGTTTTACACTAAAAGTATACATAACCTTTTCCCATTCTTTTCCACTTTTACATGGACCCTCTGCAGAGTTTAAACAATCTGCTACTTCATCCCACATTGCATTCTGAAAAAGATATATTAATATTATATTCTCATTTCAATTTTAATCACATACATTAGTAAGTTTTTTAATATGTTATTACTTTACCAATTTTTGTCGACTCTCGCTTTTTCTATTTATTCGACCTCTTATTAAATCAGGTTTTTCTTGTAAGTAATTCAGTAACATTTCTTTTTGTTTTCTTGTTACGTTCATTTTTTGTGTATATTACCTTATATTATCTCCTTTCTGTAATTAAAATTGCAACGCTATTGCGGACTCTAAAATGCTAAAAGCCATCGCACACAAAATAACATGGACTGATATTTATAGTCGGATTTTATATTAATGATCGTCTTAAGTTTCAAACGCTGGATCATTTCATTGGCTACAGAATATTTGTTGTGGACCTCCACTAATTTTTCACTTTTCACTTTTCACTCTAGGGGAAAAGTTACGTGATCGATACCCAGGGACTCAATTCTTGACTACGTGCGAATGAGATGCGTACGCGAAAATGTACAGTTCACGTTACATATAATATAGATTTTCGCATGCGCATCTCATTCGCACGCCGTCAGTACCGCGATTCTGTAACTCGTTATTGGAGTTAACGACAGTTTCGTTATTGTTGCGCAGCTTTTCTACGGTATACAAAAGTTGCGCAACGATAACGAAAGTATCGTTAACTCCAATAACGAGTTACAGAATCGCGGTACAGGAATCGAGCCTCAACCACTGGAGAAAACCACTGTGAGCGATTAGTGACTATTGGTCCTTACTGTAATGGAGGATTCACACTGCGTCCGATGTCCAACATCTAATAGGAAGACAGCTTTCTAATGGATAATTCAATTGTCTGTCAACTGTCAGACAGTGACAGTGTGAATCCTCTATTAGATCCTTATAGGATCGTAATGTGAATCCTCCATTACATTCAGACCAATAATGGAGGATTCACACTACGTCCGATGTCCGATGTACGACGTCCGACGTCCAATATATTGCCAGTATTAGCAACATTATTCTGTCCTTATTGTTTATAAAAAGATGAACGAAGATAGACTACACTGGCAATGAATATAGAGAAAACATAGAGAGAGTTTTCTAGGGACTTTACGTGATAACACCAATAATTCTCATCATACGAAAAAGTTCGTCTGAATCCAACTTTTAGATACGATAAATCATATCGTATTATATAACAAATAGTATAGACATAATGGATATAATGGATGATATAGTAAGTAAAAATATATTGTTGCTATCATGGGAAAACCTACTATGTGCATGTTCTAGTTAATTGAAGATATTTATATTATGATCTGGAATTCAATTCTATATATAATCACATAAATATCTTCAATTAACCAAAAAACGTACATAAGAGATTTTTTCATAACAGTGACGAAATATACATATTTTTTAATGCAAAATTATAATTATAAAATAATAATTAATTATGCAAAAGATATAAAATATAATTTTAGCGTAATTTTAGTTTAAAGTTGTGCATTTTAAACTTATAATATATAATATATAAAGATAATTATTTAAATTAGATTATATTTAATGTTTGTTTTATTTTATTTATATATTATTAATTAAATAATTTACATATTAGTAAATAATAAAATTATATATAAGCATGTTATGTTTTTATTATAGATTTGCGCAGACTGTGGTAATACAGTATCTGAATTTCATATCTGCATAGAAAAGAATGATGATGAAATACTTCATACAACAGTTGAAAACATTGAGGAGCTTATTAATGAAGTTTTCATACGGCCAGTGCTATGGGATAGTACATTACCATATATACAGCGTGGATCATCGATAATAAAATATCACCGGTTAGAGATTGATAAAAAACTTAGTAAGTGTTTTAATGATTATTGTGTGCGTGCGTGCGTGCGTGCGTTCAGTGGTCGGGTTCCGAGACGCTTTACTTTCAGCAGACTTTACGATCAGTGAAATAACGTAAAACGCATAATTTTGAGAACAAGGTCAAGGTTGAAAACGTCATATCCGAACGTAAAATTTTTCAATCTTGACACTTTTAGGTCAAAAGTATGGATTTTTAGTCCTAAAAAAGTCCGGTTCGACCTTAATAATAATCTTAACTCATGACCTTGAGAATAAGGGCAAGGTCACGGCTAAATGTCCCTCGTTGACCTCTACATTCTTATTCTTATGCGTAACATTGCTAGCACCCTAACAGGTGCATTTTCGAAGATATTCGCATTTTCAGCCTAAAACAAGCTTAGACCTTTATGTGACCTTCAGAGGTCAAATTTGACAGTGTTCAAGGTCATATCCGAACGTAAAATTTCCTGCTCTTTTCATTTCTGGGGTCAAAAGTATGGAGTCCCATTTAAAAAAATTGACCTGACTTTGAAATGACCTTCAAGATCATTGTCAAGGTTAAATTCAAGGTCACCGTCAGATACCCAGGAAAAATCATAAAAACCTAATACTTCGCATTTTTTCTAGGACTCATATTTTTTCGAGTTATTCTGCTCTTCCGGAACTTTCATAACACCCTGTATATGGGCGTTTATGTAATTATAAGTAATATAAAAGTCATGACAAATTAATGTGGCCGCGCGTTATCTTTGTCGCGTCATTGCTAGAAATCGTCCAAACTCTCGAAATTATTTTCTTCCCGAATTATAAATATAAAACAATGTGGAAAGGAAAACAAGGAGGTGGAAGGAGAGACGGCGACGTCTGCCTTACGATAACATCGCTGCTGGCTCGCTTCGTCGCGATTGTCTATTCGCTGGTGGTGAGACAAAGACCGATTCTTCGTTTTTATCTAACTAATCTAGCTCGCTCGTGAACATAGCACAGAACAGAACCAAATAATTATAGACATAGCACGGAACAGTACCAACAAATCGTGGACATTGGCTTAGTAGTTCATGTCCATGAAAAATGGACCCAGTTGGCGCTTCGAATCAGCCAACTTTTCGATAACGCTGTAAATGCAGCCATGCTCGCTCTCAGGCTTCTCTCTGTGTATATATTGTTGTGCCCGCGCGTGAAAGAAATAACTCGGGATAAACTAAACGAGAAAAGCTTTATTTACAGCCAAAAAAAACGGATCTTAATCAATCTCAAAATAATCGCACGAATTCGCTTTACGTTCGTACACCGCGACAGGACTAGAGCGACTCTCTACTCTAGTTGTTAGTAAACAAACTCCTTGACAACGATAACAGCTGTCAAATACTTTCTATATGCCTTCTTCACAGTCTTCTCCCAAGAGCGTGGGAACAACACGTTCCCCAAAGGTGTGGGCACAACACTGTCCCTTCTCTTCCAAAATTGTCGTCCCGACAATCCCATGGAAAAAGTTGTTCGTGATGCTCTTCTTCAAATCTATCTCCAAAATTTCACGCCATCTTTGCTGCTCCAGGGCACCTTTGGCGACCCTTTGTCACAACCTGGACTGCTGTCTCAGGTTCTCTTGACTACGCCATCTCTTGTCCCAACAGCTACCAGGCCGAAAAGTTGTCGACGTGACTCTCGAAGTCCCAGCTCACCGCTCTTCAGCTTCTTCTTCGGATAAGGGGGGGGGTATAACCCGTGGACCCGACTCGTGGATTCTTTAAAAGAACACCCCTAATCGCCGCCCCGGTATTCACCCAAAGCCCCACGGAAAAACCACAATCAAAAACCGTGGGGAGGGCGGTCCTTAACGGATCTCAGTGGAAAAAGACGTCAGCGACTCGGAAAACGGAAAAGGAAAGAGGAATGGGAAATTCTGAAAAAGGAAAAGAAAACAAACAAGTATATGTATATTCACGTATTGATTCTTTTAATTTTATTTAATGTCTCTTTCTCGAAAAGGAGCCAAACGATCTGCATGAACCACTTTTCTTTTATGTTTGAAAGATTTGCCTATACAAAACACGACATCACTAAGTTTCTTTATAATTATAAAAGGTCCTTCCCAAGAACTTTGCAATTTCGGAGCTTTTCCTATTGTACGACGAGGATTGAAAAACCAAACCTTTTGACCTTGTTCAAATGTCACTTGCCTAGAACGTTGATCATACCAAGATTTGGTATTTTGAGATCTAATTTAAAGACGACGTCTAGCAAAACGATGAATTTCATCCAGTTTTTCCTTAATTTCCTTAATTTAATAGTGTACTTTTCTTCTTCTTTTCCTTTAACTGAGGGAGGCCGACCTCGAAGAAGATCTAAAAGTAAACGAAGATCCTGACCAAGATACATTTCGGCTGGAGAAACTCCAGTTACTTCATGTTTAGAGGAGCGAAAAGCCAGTAGAAACAAAGAAATCCATTTATCCCAATCTCGTTGATTATCAGAAATATATTTCGCCAAATAATTTAAAATTGTTCTATGTTGACGTTCAACTTGTCCATCTGACTGAGGATGAAGAGGTGTAGTACGAGTTTTCCTGATTCCTAAAATATGAGACATCTCAAGAATTAATCGTGACTCAAAATTCTTCCCTTGATCAGTATGTAATTCTAAAGGAATTCCATGTCGAGAAAATACTTGTTCAACTAAAAACTTAGCAACAGTGGTTGCTCTTTTATTTTTCAAAGGAATAGCCTCTGGCCATTTGGTAAAACAATCTAGCACAACCAGCACATACCGATTTCCATTAAGAGTGATAGGAAGAGGACCTAAAATATCAACTTGTATTCTTTCAAAAGGAGCACTTACATTATACACCTGAAAAGGAGATTTCCCTTTTCCAGAAGGACCTTTCTTAGCTATACAAATTTTGCAAGAAGCACACCAATCCTCCACGTCTCTCTTGCAAGTTGCCCAATAAAAACGTTTACGTATCCTTTGTAAAGTTTTATTAATTCCAAAATGACCACCGGAAGGTGAATCATGAGCTTCTTCCAACACCTCCGAAACCTTCTCCCGAGGAACTAAAATTTGATAAACATGGTTTAATAAATTAGGAGATTCCCATTTTTTATATAAGACAATTATAGCTTCCCATTGAGACCAGTAAATCTTAGAAGAAATCTCCATAGGAGCAACAGCCTGCCAAGAAGGCCTTTCATCAATCTCTTTAGCTTGATGAATTTGTGCCAACACTGAATCCTGAAGCTGAAAATCACGCCATTCTTGTAAATTATCTCTTTCTAAAGAAATAAATCCTATAATATTTTCTTTAAAAGATTCCTCCCGTGATTTTACTTTATAACAATAACGACAAGAAGTTTCCAAACAAGGACGTCGAGAGAGAAAATCTGCATTTTTGTGTAATTTCCCGCTACGATAATTAGTGTCAAAATCATATTGCTGCAAACGTTCTAACCATCTTGCCAACTGCCCTTCCAAATTCTTAAATGAAGTTAACCATCGTAAAGAAACATGATCTGTTCTTACTAAAAACTTCCTTCCATATAAATAATGATGAAAAGATTGTACAGCATCTACCACAGCAAGAAGTTCCCGACGAGTTACACAGTAATTCTGTTCTACTTTACTAAAAACTCGACTATAAAAAGCAATAACTTTCTCTTTTCCTTCCTGAAGCTGTGAAAGAACTGCTCCAATGCCATGATTTGAAGCATCAGTGTCAAGAATAAATTGACCTTCTCCAGAAGGAAAAGATAAAATTGGAGAAGAAGTCATCACACGTTTTAACTCCTGAAATGCCAACTGACATTCTGTTGACCAAGAAAATTTTCTATTTTCCTCCGTCAATCTAAATAAAGGCTTGGCTAAAAGAGAAAAATCTTTAATAAATTTCCGATAATATGAACAAAATCCTAAAAAACTTCGCACTTGTTTCCGTGTCTTTGGAATTGGCCAATCTTTAAGAACAGAAATCTTATCAGGATCTGTAGCAACTCCCTCAGCAGAAATCACATGACCCAAGTATTTGATCTTTTTCCTTAAAAACTCACATTTCTTTGGATTTACCTTAAGATTTGCGGATTGTAACCGCAGAAAAACTGCTTTTAAATTAGAAATCATTTCTTCAAAATTCTTTCCAAAAACAATTACATCGTCCAAGAAAACGAAACATTTTTTTAGAAATTAAACCTGATAACACTTTTTCCATTAAACGTTCAAAAGTGGCAGGAGCGTTACAAAGTCCGAACGGCATCACTGTAAACTGCCACAAATCGTTTCCTATAGAAAAAGCAGTTTTCTCCCGATCCTCAGGAGCTACCACCTGCCCCCACCTGCCAATAACCACTCTTTAAATCAAGAGTACAAAACCATGAATTCCCAGCTAAACAATCTAAAATTTGATCAATTCTTGGAAGTGGATATGAATCCTTGATGGTTGCTGCATTTAATTTTCTATAATCTACACAAAATCTTATAGAACCATCTTTTTTTTACCATAACAGCCGGAGAAATCCAAGGGCTATTGGATTCTTCTATTACCTTTTGAGCTTTCATGTCTTCTAGAATTTTATAAACTTCCTCTTGTAAATAAATAGGAATACGACGAGGAGTCTGTTTAATAGGATTGGAATCTAAAAGTTTAATATGATAACAAAGAATATCACAATTACCAGCTATAACATTTTCAGCAAATAAATCTTGAAATTGAATAAGAAACTCTGAGAAAATCTCTTTTTGTGAAAAATTCAAATGTTTAGAACTTTGTTCATGAATTTCTCTAAGTAATCCAGGAAATTGAATAGAATGTTTCTCTATTCTAGAACAAATTAATTCTTGTTTTCCAAAACCATTCTTTGAGATTCCAAGAGCCTTTTCAAACAATCCATCCACTAAACCTGTTTTTAAAAGAAAATCTCTTCCTAAAATACAATCATTATTTATTTCAGCTACATAAAAACATAATTGTACACAAACTTCCCCAAAGTAACGGTAGTAACAACTTGTGAATGAACCTGAACTCTTTCTCCTGTAGGGTAAAATAAATTAACAGAACCTATCGGACTCAATTTCAAAGATATTACCTTCCTAGAACTTATAATCGAGACATCAGAACCTGTGTCAATTTTAAAAGAACAAGTTGTATTATTTAACAAGCCCCTGAAACAACAATAATTACTAAGAAACATTTTATCATTCAATTTTCCACAAATATTATACATGTTTTTATCAATTTTGCGCTCATAAAACGGAGCCTGAATCCTTTTTACCGAACCAGCTCCGCGAAGCTCGGCAAAATTTAGTTTTCTTTTTGCTGCAATGTCGGACATTCTGAACGAAAATGTCCTACTCCACCGCATTGCCAACATTCCCTTTCTTTATTCTTACTCGTTTTAAAATTTCTTCGTGCTTCAACTCTTTCAAATTCCTTTCCCTTCTTATATCCATTTCCTTTTTCTTCAAAACGACAGAAAACTCCCGTGACTTTCTGTTCTTTTATTTTCCGTGAAAAACAGTTTTCATTTATCGATTGCAAAATCTTTGCTCGTTCTATAGCCGCTTTAAGTGAAACTATTCCCTCTGTCAAAAGCGAACGCTTAATAAAATTATCCGAAATTGCAGCAATGAATTGCGCACAAGCAATCTTTTCGCGTACTTCAAAAGAACATTCTGGATAAGCTCTCGAAAGACGCTCTAAATTTGCACCAAGAGTTGCGTAATCTTCTCCCGCAAGCATCTTTCGATTTGTAAATTGCGAATAATAATTTTGCATTAATTCACCCTCTCCAAATTGTAATTCCAATTTTGCTTTTATTTCATTAAAAGTTATCTTTTCTAAATCATTTATATTTAAAAGAACTGTTCGTGCTTTCCCTCTTAAACAGGAAGCCAAAGCTACTGTTTTCGCGGAATCATTCCAACCATTAGCTTGCGATATTAGAGAAAATTGTGTAAGGAACTCTCTTAAAGGCACCATCCCATCATAAATATCTGATTTTACTTTGACACCACAAAATACACGTTCTCCTTCAACATTCATTCTCGAATTTTCGAGATCGATATGCATCGCAACATTACGAGATTCATTCCCAAAGATACTATTATTAGAAGGACTCATCTGTTTATCCAGTTTTTCTTCCAGGCGTTTAAAAGCTGAATCACGCTCCTCAAGCTGCGTTTTTAATTCATTTTGAATTCGTAGCTGCTCTCTCTGATCCTGCTGCCGTTCCTCCCTTAGTTGCTGCAACTCCTGAAGAACGGCTCGTAATGAATCATCTGAGGTAGCCGGCGTCTGAGCACGAGTCCTCCTCGGTAAATGTGCCAAAGCGATTTTTTTTTCTTTCACTTTCACACACGAGCACGTCTACGATTTCTATCGTTATTGACCCCGGACGAGCCCCTAAATGTTGTGCCCGCGCGTGAAAGAAATAACTCGGGATAAACTAAACGAGAAAAGCTTTATTTACAGCCAAGAAAAATGGATCTTAATCAATCTCAAAATAATCGCACGAATTCGCTTTACGTTCGTACGCCGCGACAGGACTAGAGCGACTCTCTACTCTAGTTGTTAGTAAACAAACTCCTTGACAACGATAACAGCTGTCAAACACTCTCTATATGCCTTCTTCACAGTCTTCTCCCAAGAGCGTGGGAACAACACGTTCCCCAAAGGCGTGGGCACAACAATATATATATATACAGTAAAAGTATATTAAATAAAATTAGGATAGTTTATACCGTAATGTTATTAACAAGCAAATATTTGGTGAAATTGGTTGCCTAAAACATGTTTCTTGTTTTTGTATTATAGCCTTAACCAAGTTAAGCAGTACATCAAAATGTTCAGAAATCATCCCAGTGAAAACAGCTTAGTAAAAATGATATCAATATGACATCAAAATCGTTGTTTGTTGTCATTGCGTCAAAAAAAAATTTAATTTGATGAAAAATTGACATCAGGTTGATTAACGTTGTACGCGATTAAATTTCATTTCTCATTTCAAAAAAAAGATATAAATAGTTGTTTAGATGATAATTATAATGTTATATGGCAAAAATGTAACCCACATTATGTTGACATCAAAATGACTACAGAATGATGAGACTTATTCTTTTATTATTACAAGAGAAATCTCCGGCATTGTTTTGTTTTGTCGCTCTATGTTCTATGTGCCGGCGCTCGCATCAATATGATGGGAACGCGACTGAACGCGACAGCTTAGTAAATATACGTGTGGAGGAAAAAAGCTTATACGAAAAATAAGTTATTAAAAGTTTGTTCGAAAGTTTACCGTATTTATCGACATGGATAAAAGACCAGTAAGTATGACTTGTCTCTAGTAAGTATGAATATATTATTTATTTTCCGTACAACATATTATTATTTGATAGTCTATTGTAAGTTATTGAGGTTAAATTACGTTAATTGATATTCTCCACATGGTAAGTGAGTAGTGATATTGTTACTGTTTAATTTATTATGAATTAGGTAATTATACAGAATACCCTCCTCACCTCCGATATCGATGAAATAATATTGAATCGACGCGTTTTTGCAAGAGAAACAACTTTTCTATTTGAAAAAATCGTCGCTCTGCCTTGTGGAGCAAGATATAAATTGTTAAAGTTGAGGACAATTTAGGTTAGGAAATCTGTCACGGAGGCAACAGTGGTACAAGATTTGAAGCATGTTTTTATTCATCGCCGGATTCAGAGACTAATCATAATGAAATTTCACTTAACAAAGAAAGTGAGAAACAGACAAAAACGCAATTAGAGCCTTACTCTTTCAAATTCGAAGGTATTTCAATTTTAACAATCAAAGATATTTTACATTTTAGGTAGTTATGGTTTTGATGTTCTTTTCACGTTCTCAATGAATATGTTTTGTTTTATGTCAGGTCAGGTAATTTTAGATGCAAACAATGTCATAATGAAATTATGCTGAATAGCACAGTACTTCTGGAGCTAAGCAAAAAGTTGGATTCAGTGTTGATTAATCAGGCAATCATTATGCGGTCTGTCAACCCAGATCATGCCAAGTCTGATATCTTCTAATATTCCAAATATTCCTCTAAAAACAAAAGAAGACTTTCAAAAGATGGACATATTTTTGACAGCTAATCGTATTAATTTTGAAGCTGTGGTAAGTCCCATGTAATATTAATTTTAACATGTATAATATATATTAAAAGTTTAAAGAATATATAGTTATAATAATCATTCTATATCATTTTTTGTGCTCTAATAGCGAGATCTAGTTCATTCTAAATGTGCCAGTGCTTTAAGCACATTATCTGTTCCTTCAGAGCACAGTATCACAGGAAATGTTTTGTTGAAGTTCTCAAATAGTCTTGCCAAACTGATAAGTTAGAGTGGGTCAGAAGGCAATAAGATAAAGTTCTCAGAGACAAAACAATGTGAAATTGTATTTAGTAAGTTGTCAATTTTTTATTTATCACATAAATCCCGTTGTTCTTATATTATTGGCATGAAGTTAATTTTTTTATTAGTATCCATATGATACATGAAATATACATATTATTGAAATATACATATTATTGCATTTGTTTTATTAATAATATTATTATATTATAATTATTTTTGTATAATTATTTTGCAGGTGCAGTAAATTACGATTTCCTCATAGCTTTCTTACTGACGCTGAAGCCAAAATCAAGCGTTGGTTCCAAACTGCGAATGGTAGAAGAGTTAATGAATCTCATGACTCTGATACTTAACGCAATTCACTCACATATATTATAGTTTTTCATTACTGATATTATGATTACAGGATTATTATTGATGTTAATTTTTTGTTTGTATTCTTTTAGGATGCGTTCCTTTGTTCGCATGAAACGCATGCTACATACTACTGTGATCAAAAAATAAGGTGAATTTGTTTATAAAATGAAAAATCTTTATTCTTCTAAATCAATTTCATCACCTTCAAAGTATTCCCCGTCCGACACAATGCACTTATGCCAACGTTTTTTCCAATCCTCGAAGCAGTCAGAGAAGTCTTTTTCCGGGATGGCCTTCAATACTTTCTTCAATTCGGCTTTTATCTCCTCAATCGAGTCGAAACGGTGTTCCTGGAGCGATCTTTTGAGTTTGTTGAATAGCCAGAAGTCGCACGGTGCTAAATCAGGCGAATACGGTGGTTGTGGAACGATATGGGTCGAATTTTTGGCGAAATGTTCTCGAAGAACCAATGCAGTGTGGGACGGTGCATTATCGTGGTACAAAAACCAAGAATTATCTGCCCATAATTCTGGCCTCTTGAGGCGAATAGCTTCACGCAAACGATGTATAACACTCAAATAATATTCCTTGTTAATAGTTTGATTTCCTTGACATGGCTTTCATCGGTAGATGTTGATGGTCGTCCGGGGCGCTGTTCGTCTTGAACTCGTTCTCGGTCTTCTTTGAAGTCTTTGTACCACTTGTAAACATTTTCTTGCGACATAGCCTTATCACCAAAGACCTTCTGCAACATCCTCAACGTTTCCGCGGCAGAATATTCATTCCGCAAACAAAATTTAATGCAAATTTTTTGCTCAACAAAATCAGACATAGTAAAAATCGAAAAACTCACTTTTGTATGTTTACAGAAACACGTAAAGCTCTGCAGCAATTGAATATATTGACATGAAACTCTACATAGATGTCAAAGACATTGCTACCAACCCACCAAAAAATAATTTCATGATTTTATAGTACCCGTGAAGTTTAAATGAAAAATTCACCTTATTTTTTTATCACAGTAGTACATTTATCTATAATTCATATTACGTATATTATAGGAAATATGCGCATCATGCATTTAATGCAAGAAACGAAACACATCCAATCTCTGACAGATTTAAATGGCTTAGTGAGAATCTTGATTTATTTCATGTGCAATACGTTATTTTTATAATGGAACATATAAATTTGTGTAAGAAGACTGATTTTTTCCTAATGTGGAAATCGTATGTCGTATTGCACAGATATATATTTTATTAAAGTTGTTAGTTTACTTGCTATGTACTAAATTTAGTTGTTAACTAAATTTATATTTACCCTAATAGCTTCGTTGTAAAGTCAAGTTTTTAGACTTTTTTTCTTTTAAATTTAGCAAGGATATATAAAATGTTTCCCAAAATTTTAGGTGTCGCATTACATTTATGACAAAATTTGTGATCGCATTTATGACAAGATTTATAATGATTTGATATTATTTGTAATAATTGTTTATTTTGATTTAAAGTCTTTATATGATAACATAGTTTGTATATTATTTTGAGTACTTTCCGCTTAACGCTCTCATGGATTGTATCAAATCTGAAACACTAAATTAAAAAATCATATGTAATGTATTTTTGTATATAAGTTGTCGGAAACGTCTCATTTGCTCACGTTGCAATTGGTCTTAGCCAATCAAATTACCTAGTGGAATAGAGTTAAGTTTAAATTTGAGTAATATTATTAGCTGTGTCCAATCAAAACTGTGGTCAATTGGCATCCATTCAATTTATCTATACTTTTATTCCATATAATTTAATCTTGCATTTATTCTTACAAAAAATACTCAGTGAACATGAATAACGGTAACTTGAAACTAATGTTCTAATTTCCCATTTAACTATATAACTGTTACGTGACACATGTTATATTTGTAATGTTGAATGAGAAATTATAGTATTGGTATGTTAATGTTACTAGCTGTTCATTAGTATTCATTTTTACTTTGACATCAAATAATCATCAAAATGAGATCAAAATAATAATCAAAATGACTATCAACCTATGGGACATTTTGCAGTCATTTCTACCGTCATTTTGATCACTCTTTTTGACATCATATCCCTCATCAATTTGATGGCAATTTGACATCATTTTGACTAGTTTGTTTTCACTGGGATTCTTACATAATTGTAATATCAAATTAAGTCTCCAAGACGTCCCAGATAGCAAACTGTCTGTGAATTTGCTGTCATTTTGCCGACAACCGTTGCAACATCTGATTTAGACAAACTACAATAAAAACAAGGTGAGACTTCATTATGCGTGTCGTTTTGAGGTCACATGAATTCCAATTGTAATGTCAGCAAGTTACCGGCAAACTGACGGCAACATGTTCACAACGATTCGTTCTTCATGAAGGAGTGATTGTGACAGCAAAATTCCGGCAAACTAACGCCAACATGTGCACACAGATTTGTGACAGCAAATGGCCGGCAAACTGACGACAACATGTGCATATTGATTTGTGACAGCAAATCGCCGGTAAACTGACGGCAACATGTGCATAACGATTTGTGACAGCAAATTGCGGGAATTCCTTGTCGTCGATTTGCCATCTGTGATTAGTAGCATATTGATGGCAATTTAGGAGCACTATTTACAAAAAGTATGTACGTAAATTTCTATTTATTTGTTTTTTATTTTTATAATAAAATTTATACATTTTTGGTATTTTATCACTTTAACCGCTTCTGCGGTTTACATGTATTCACCCCGAGGGGCCATTCACTAATGCAATAAGGTATACATCTGATTTGCAACTATCATATAATCAACAATGAAATCAATTCGTAATCACGTGTAATCTTGATATATTTGTAACATTATTTACATTAAAATTAGCAGTAATAACGAGTAATAATATTGAAATAATTTGCAATCACCATAAAATTATTTGTAATCACAATAAAATCAGCTGTATTACAACTGATTACAATCGATTACAACCGATTTCATATAGTCGTATGAAATCACTTTAGTAGTTGTAATCACATCGAAATCAACTGTGATCAACTGTACTTTATAATCATGTGTACACTTAGAGGCAGGTATGGTGTGCCTCGGCGATGTCGTATACGCCTGTAAAACAATCGAAAGCGATGACAGGTATATATGCATACGCATATGGGTGTACTGTACAGCGCGAGAGAAGCGAAGAGGGAGAAGTGGTGGGACACGTTCCGATGTTGCATCCTTATCGCACGTCGCACGATCGAGAGAGAAAGCATTACCAGACGTGGTACGGTTAATGGTGTCCCCAACAGCTATCTCACTCTCTCTACGCTTGAATGCAGGCAATATGAGTGAGACAGCTAGAGACACCGCGCTGTCTCTATAGGTGTCTCGCTCGCTCTAATAGCCATATATCGCGCTTTCCTCTTTTTTCCTTAGCAGAAATGCCGATCAAGGAGACAATCCTGTCTATAAGCCAGAAAAATAAGCTATTTTCGCGAATTTTTTTTTTCGGAAACTAAGCAGACGATTGATTTCAAACTTGATAAAAATAATAATATATATTTTATTGATGAGAATGAATTTTTATAGCGTTATATGAATAATAATGTAGCAAATATACAAAAAATAACGTGACATGTTTAGGCGCGCGCCGTTTCACGGTTCTTATAAAATCTCGAAATACGGTAGACTAGGACAAAAATACAAGTAAAATAATTAATCTACGAAATTGCCGCTAACTCGTTTGAATTAAGGAAATAAAAAACGAACTACTTTTTTAATATTTTAAGGCATTTAAAAATTATATTTGAAAAATCGTCATAAATATCGATGATTTTACGTTAAGAATATTTTATTTGCAAGAAAACGATATTTCATGAAATTTACGAAAAAACTTATTTTATGCCGTAAGATATGTCAAATTGTGCAATTTTTTTTAGACGCAACATATCTTTACTTTTGAAAAGACTACGAGAAGGAGGAAGAATAAATGCAACATCTTCCTTAAAATGCTACTTAAAATATAGGCTCCGCTCTTGAAAATATAAAAAAAAATTAGGAGACATTTAATAATAATAAAAATTACAATAATAATAACGAGACGCTATATAGCATCTCCTGAAATCAGAGAAAAAACTTTTTTTTATATAAAAAAGTCGATCGATCGACTTCAGCATCTAATTACATATTCGAAACATGTCATATCTATCGTGTGAACTAGCGAAATAAAAAAATATTAATTTTTTATATGCACCGCGCTATCTCTATAGGTGTCTCATTCGCTGTAATAGCCAATGGCATTTATGTTCGCAGTTTGACATATCTTACGGCATAAAAAATGTATCGCGTTTTTCTGTTTTATAACGCCATAAAAATTCATTCTCATCAATAAAATATATATTATTATTTTTATCAAGTTTGAAATCAATCGTTTGTTTAGTTTCCGAAAAAAAAATTCGCGAAAATAGCTTATTTTTCTGGTCTACAGACAGGATTGCCTCCTTAATCGGCATTTCTGCTAAGAAGAAAAGAGGAAAGCGCGATACATGGCTATTAGAGCGAGCGAGACACCTATAGAGACAGCGCGGTGTTTCTATAGCTGTCTCACTCATATTGCCTGCATTCAAGCGTAGAGTGAATGTGACAGCTATTGTGGACATCATTAACCGTACCACGTCTGGTAATGCTTTCTTTCTCGATCGTGCGACGTCCGATAAGGATGCAATATCGGAACGTTTCCCACCACTTTTTCTTCTTCAGTTCTCTCGCGGTGTACAGTATGTTCACAGATGCCTATACTATACTAGATTGCTAACTTCGATCTTTGACCTATACAAGAGCTGTGTCCCGCCTATTTTCCAGTTCGGCCATGAAGACCGCCAAAACATGGCGGCGGTGTGTGTTTGTAGTGCGTACGTGAGTATCCGATGCGTATGTAGTAGTGCTGTACTGTAAGTATGTGATACCTGATGTGTCTACACTGATGTGTCGTATCTACTGCTATTTATATTAGTAAAACTGCAAATATATAAACGAGATAATGCCAAGTACATGTTGCATTGTTAATTGCAATAATACGAATAAAAAAGAATATCACTTATTTAAATAAGTAGAATACATTTATATATAATAAATGTTCGAGGTTTGTAATATGTGAGGGTTATCTTGTAATTAAACATTGTTAATATTATTAATATTATGTTAATATTATTAATATTATTAATATTAGAATGTATTCACTTACAAAAACAACGAAAGATAGAAATCCTGCAAGAAACAGACACAAATTTACAAAATTAATATTATTTAATAACACATAAGTTGCATTTTATTCTTTATATGTATGTAAAAAATATTAATACAAATACTTTGACATATTTTGAACTGTATATATTCAATTTAATTTTAACCTTTACTAAACACTTAGATTAGCAACACCTTATTAATACACACATCTTTAAATGATATTCTTTCTTGTTCGTATTTTTGAAATTTACAATACTTATTCGGCATTATCTCGTTTGTAGATTTGCAGTTTTACTAACATAAATAAAAAAGTAGTAGACACATCAAGTGTCACATACGCACTACCACGCACTACTACATACGCATCGGGTATTCACATACACACTACAAACACACACCGCCGCCATGCTTGGCCGAACCGGAAAATGGGCGGGACACAGCTCTTTTGAGAAGTTAGCAATCTAGTATAGTATAGACATCTGTGTCATATGCGTATGCGTATATGCCTGTCATCGCTTTCGATTGTTTTACAGGCGTATACGACATCGCCGAGGGACACCATACCTGCCTCTGAGTGTACACTCGCGAGCATAATAGTTTGTGACCGTTTTTTTGAAACTTTCGGAACGTATCCCGACTCGAGAAGAATGAGAGTCACTGCTCTGCCTGTGGAGCACGCCTGCGCAGTGACTCACGACGAAAGGCGAGAAATGAAATATACGCGGTGGGACATATTATAATAATACAGACTCAGATGAAATGAATACTCCCGTATCAAATGGAAATGAGGGAACACAGAACAGACAAGAATCATCCGATGTAAGTCTTATACTGCGGAAGACATCCGAGAAAGGTAAAATATCAACTTAATTAAGAGAATTAAGCTGCATTACGATAGTTACGATTCTGTTATACATTTATATATGATTTATTGTTCCAGCAACAGCCATCTTCTATAGCAGAAGCAATGATATTAGATACAGAAGCAGCTGTTATAGCGAATTTTGAATTTTTGGGACATACAGACATGGACATGGAAGAGGAAGAAGGAGATGGAGACGATGAAATTTATGATGCAAATACAGATACCAAACCAAATAAAGTAACGCTTACTATCATCTTGTGTTTTAATGATATTGTTCACACTATTTGTTAACATAATTTCTTATTTTTCAGGCATCTATACCCCTTCTAGCGGAAGATGTTGATACAGATGCAGAGGCAGAAGTATTAAATGAATTAAATCTCCTCACAGAAATTGAAGAATCACCACCTGGTTCTATCCATCTGGAAATGAATTCTTCAAAGGGGTTAGTAAATCCCTTTTTATTCGTGTACTTTAAGATAAAATATAAACCTACTACAATAATAGATATTCGAAATTCGCTATAATAGCTGCTTCTGTATCTAATATCATTGCTTCTGCTATAGAAGATGGCTGTTGCTGGAACAATAAATCATATATAAATGTATAACAGAATCGTAACTATCATAATGCAGCTTAATTCTCTTAATTAAGTTCATATTTTACCTTTTTCGGATGTCTTCCGGAGTATAAGACTTACATCGGATGATTCTTGTCTATTCTGTGTTCCCTTATTTCCATTTAATACTGGAGTATTCATATCATCTGAGTCTGTATTATTATATGTCCCACCGCGTATATTTCATTTCTAGTCTTTCGTCGTGAGTCACTGCGCAGGCGTGCTCCACAGGCGGAGCAGTGACTCTCAATCTTCTCGAGTCGGGATACGTTCCGAAAGTTTCAAAAAAACGGTCACAAACTATTATGCTCGCGAGTGTACACTCGTGAACTAAAAGGTATGTGCACCGATTTTTTGTTAACTTCGGAACGCGCTCCAACTTGAGGAGAAAGACCACTGCTTCATACGTCAGCGCTGTCACTTATTACGAGAACAGAAGGATGGCATATACGAGTGTCAAATAAGTAGTGATTGTGGCGTAGACACAAATGTCTTGGAGACTATGAGTTATAATTGAAGAAATGAAGAAAACAAATAGTGATTGTGAAGAAAAGTGGCAAAAGGCTTTATAAAATTTGTAAAACAGCATATTAAAGGAGAATATTAATTATCTAATAATATTTTAAGTGAAAAATATTTTTAAATTTGAGTGTAAGTTAAAAAAGTTATAAACTATAATTTCTTTAATGTTAATAAATTTGTCATCGACGTTGAATGAATATATATATAATGCTATTATTTCCATAGGTGAGGAATTATATTATTGTGTTCAGCAGAAGTAAACAGCAGACCAAGTTGAGTGATATGAGTATCTTGTTAAAAAATATCACTCGACTTGGTCTGCTGCTTATTTTTTATGAGCGCAATAACATAATTTTCCACCTATGTAAATGATAGCATTACATACAGATTCATTTAACGTCGAAGGCAAATTTATAGCTATAAAATTATTAACATTAAAGAAATTATGGTTTATAACTTTTTTAACTTACACTCAAATTTAAAAATATTTTTCACTTAAAATATTATTAGACAATTAATACTCTCCTTTAATATGCTGTTTTACAAATTTTATGAAGCCTTTTGCCACTTTTCTTCACAATCACTATTTGTTTTCTTCATTTCTTCAATTATAACTCAAAGTCTTCAAGACATTTGTGTCTACGCCACAATCACTACTTATTTGACACTCATATATGCCATCCTTCTGTTCTCGTAATAAGTAACAGCGCTGACGTATGAAGCAGTGGTTGTTTTTCTCCTCAAGTTGGAGCGCGTTCCGAAGTCAACAAAAAATCGGTGCACATACTTTTTAGTTCACGAGTGTACGTCATTTTGAAGGGCTTTAGCTCCAGACTCTATATTCTAGGGTCTCTAGGCTCGGCTAAAAGCGGCCCATGACACCTCTCCTTCTTCTCTCTGCAGAAGTCTCTTACTTTTCACTAGTTCACGCTAGGGAAAAAATTCATGATCGCTGCCCAGCAGTACGTACGGTCGCGGACATAAAGATTGTCACTTTTTTTTTAATGACTTTCGGGACTAAATAAATACGATTTCACTTAAAATTTAATATACATACTGTTCAATACCTTGCAAAAGACGCATTCCCATTTGAATGACTTGTACTATGTATCTATCCCTCCGCTGCTGATTTTTCAAATAGTCTGTTCTTTATAGCTGCACTGTTGAACTGGTGCAATAAGTTAAAGTGAGATAAATATAAGTTTTCTCACTCTAGTTTATTACACCAGTTCAGCAGTGCAGCTACAAAGAACAGACCAAAAATGTAAGAATTGGGTACGTTCACAACACTCAACGGTTGAGCAACTGTTGAATAATTTGTCAACGTTATTGGTCTGAATGTAAGGATCTAACAGTAAGGACCAATAGTCACTAATCGCTCATTGAGCGGTTTTCTCCGCTAAACGCAATGATTGTTGACATACTCATGTCATACCACATATATTTCATTTCTCGCCTTTCGTTGTGAGTTATACCCCGTCTACAATAGAAGTCATAGAGTCGTAAGTCGTACAAATTGACCAATCGCGGTCGATTATTTTTCTCTTACCGGACTATGATTGGTCAATTTCTACGACTTACGACTCTACAACTTCTATTGTAGACGAGGTATTACTGCGTAAGCGTGCTCCGCAGGCAGAGTAGCAGCTCTCATCTTTCTCGAGTCGGGATGCGTCTCGAAAGTCATTAAAAAAAAAGTGACAACCTTTATGTCCGCGACCGTACAACTAAAGAGAAATCTGAAAGCGGCCACCGGGTGAAAGCATATGTCTAAAATCCCTAGATTTATAAAATACCGCAATCCTCCGCCATTTTGGTTCCAATAACGCGGTACATTCAAAATGCACAGATATGGTATTTTGTAAATAAAATAGGGAAATTGTTCGTGATATTAAATAATGTTTTTATTTATATTTTTTGGTCTTGTTAATATAAGATTTCATCGCAACGCTTCTACTATTATATACAGTTTGGTGCTGAACGGTCAAATTGTCCTTTTTGAGCGAGAAATAGATACGTAGAGATAGATATTACAAATGTTTTTAATAGTTTAAAAACAATGTTATGGCATTGTGGCACAAAATCGATAGAACACGTTTCTAAAAATAAATTTACAAAGTTTATTGGTTGTAATTTGTTGGACAATAGGTTCGCTTCGTTTTTTCTATATAATAATTCGCATTTATGTATAATATCATACATTTTGCTGCCTGGAAAAGTTAATATATTTTCCTTATATTGCCGCAATTGAGTAAAAATGCTTAAATTATTATTTGAATCGCTCTTGCAATCCATTACTAAAGGATTATAACAATGATCACAATGTTTGAAGTATTTTTTAATCTTTGATAATAACGCCCCTGTTAAATGATACAATGATGTTTGCGTTATATCACTTAACTCGGTCTCATCTCCAAGTAATTCTAACATTGTCTCATCCCATAAATCATTTTCAATAGCTTGCTCGCATTGCACTTCTTCAGAAGTATTTTTTAAGTCTTGATTTTTTATTTCGTCACAATATTTAATGACATAATCACAGTCAACAGTCGAGTAATTAGAGCGATTAACATTACTTTGAAATTGTGATAAACAAACAAGTCTTAAAACGTATTTAAATTCGCGCGCATCTGGTACTGATTTTCTTCCTCAGATAACGGAAAATAGATTTTCTAAAGCATCTTGTGTAAATCTACCTAATAACAAAAATTTTTAATTTTGTTTTTCTAAATATTCTATTTGCAAATCTAATGTGGTTTGTGTGCAAAGTATTAAGCCACTTTGAAATGGTTTCCATTTTCCATCTCCAACTACAATTCCTTTAATAATAACTATAAAATCTTGTAGGAATGTGATAGTATCTCTGTAAATATTTTCATTATGACGGGACAATGCGAGCTTCTGATACCTGCTGGTCATAAGTTTGAACCATTTATGTATAGTTTTGATAAACCAGGCGGTGGTTTCATGAATTTCAGCAATACGCCCGTTGGCTACATGATATGATATAGCGGCAGCAATTGTATTATTTAATATTTGCATACTTAAATTAACATGCATTTTCTCAAAATGTGATGGATTAATAGCGCGTTCTGTCAGACATGGACACAGTCGTAATGTATCGTTTTTGTCTAAGTTATATACTTCGCGAATGGGTGCAATCGATATTTCATTGTGCGGCAAGTCATATTTTCTAACAAGCGTTTCGTCCAAATAAAATTTGTTGCCCGCTGTTAACGAACACGCGACGTTTTTGAACACATGAACTGAATCGGGCATAACAAATAATTTCTCGTCATTATCGCATGGATGTGGAATATAATTATTGATTTTACAATATTTGCCAACCGTAATATTCATGATTTTCCATCAACTCCTATTCTGAGCTCCCATATCAGAAATTATTACTTTTATTTTCAGTCCGATATCATTCGCTTTTTGAATTATCGCTAACATTATTTGAACAATCTGTTGTGAGCAAAACGAATTACCTGTAAATTCGTACCCTATTGTCTGCTTCCATTTAGTAGAAATGCCGTACAACATAAACACAAGGGCATGCGTTGCTTTTTGATGAGAGCTGTCAAATCCACCCGAAAGTTTCATAGTGGGTCGACCAACTACTGCAACAATGGAATTGTCATATTGTAAGCCAGGCTTTATAGACATTTCGTCTATAATCAATACAGCATGTTTCTCTGCATCAGCAAATGTTTGTACCTGAAATAAAACAACACCAAAAGCAAATAATCACGGTTACATTTAAATATTATTAATAAATAGGAGTAGTATCACAGAATTTAAACTAATTAAGTACGTTTACTCATGCGAAATAACTAACTTTCATTTATAACATACGGAAAATATCTTCTAATATTCCCGGTTTAAATTGTAAGCCTTGTATACGATGTTGCAAGGTCCGAATACTCGGATAAGGTAAGTTTTGACGGCGTAATTCTTCATAACTTTTTTGTCCACAGGCCACATACAATTTTAAGGCATTATTAATAGTCTTGGCAGACCACAATTGACAACAATGATCCTCTTTGCGTGTTATTTTCAATATAATGTGTTTGATTTTTTGTAAAGATTTTTGCAAAACATTCTCGTTTTTTTTTCTCTTTTAATTTACATTTAAGCAGACTGCATTCTCGCATTTTCTTCCTCAATGCTATCTGTAAATGTTTTATGTGCTCTTTGTCCTTATTTGATGCAGTATGGAAAACTTTTATATGGGCCACTTCTGTATTGGCTACTTCAGGACAGTTTGTTGCAGTGCTTGTTGTATGATTTTCTTCTATATTAAAAACTACAAAATACAAAATGATTTATATAATACATGCCTCGTTTTCTTATATGTATTATCCTAAAAAGAATTTAAAGTCAAAGTGACATCAATTTGACAAAACTGATATTATATTAAACTAATATTGATATTATATTAAACTGATATTGATATTATATTAAACTAAATTTGTCAATGTAATCATTTATGTCAAATGTCAAAGTTGCATTTTGACTGTCTGTTTTTTTGGCAATTGTATCATATATAATAAAACTTTTTACAGTCTACATCCTGGACGTGCTCAGAATATTTAGCTTTTTTCAGTGTCTTCTCTGTGCCCTGTTCCGTCTCCGTTGTACGTTTTTGTAATATATTCGGTATAGCATACGGGCGGAGAAGTTTTCGACTGTCTTGACGTTTTTCGAATTGCTCATTGCCGAAGTGTACTTACAAAATGTATGTAATTATTATTCTAATATATGATGTGTTACACACGATTATAACTCATTAACTATACCTCACAAATTACAGCTCTTGCTGGCAATGTGTCTTTGCCAATTAATTGCAACCATTCATTGCGTCTATCGTTATTCCTAGTACCTGTCGGTAAACGAAATAAGCGAAAACCTTTTTCGCTACGATTTGTACATCCATCCACGCAACACCCTGGCATGTTTTTCAATGTTCCTCTTCAACAAGCTCTTCATGTGTCAACCACAACTCACGTTAAAGCCAGCGGCACACGATGCTTGTTTTCGTGCTGGATTGCTTGCTGGATGAAAATACTGCGTTCTGATTGGTGCATTTTCATCCATCTTCGAAAATATACCAATCACAAGCAATCCAGCACGAAAACAAGCACCGTGTGCCGCTGGCTTTAGATAAATTGCACTTAATGTATAGATACGTTATGGAAGTTGCACTATGTACACTTTTTAATGCCATTTTGGCTCCAAATTCTTATATATTGAGTCTTATGGATTACGGTACTTCATAAATCTAGGGACTTTACATATGTCCTGATACGCCCTCTGAGAAAATAGACGTCAACTAACTCGATATCTCGGTAATGATACGAGGTTTGTGTCTGTGATTTGAGTCTGGTTAATGTTTGAGATACTAAAACAGACTATAGTGAAAATGATATATATATACAGAGCGATTCAGACCACCCGTATAGCCCTTTTATTTCGGAAATAGAACATTTTAAAGAAAAATGTTTCAGACAAAAGTTGTATGGCTTCAAGGGTGACATAAGATGGTATCATTGGTTTGACCTTGAAGAGTTACTTGATGATCACATGAAGGTCATCTTCAATTTCTTAAATAGAACCTACTATTTATCATCACATATTCTTGTAGCTTATCTCGAGAGCTTTCCAAAACACTATGATAAAATATTTTTTCATTGAGTACTTTTCGAGTTATGAAGCTCCAAAACAATACTTTGCAATACTTTGACATAAAGTACAAAATATGTTATATGTTCTTATAGGGTTAAATAAATCCTTAGGTACTATTTTTGTATCGGGTCGACCTCTGGAGCAGGAAAATAAAGAGAATCCTCTGCGTAGACTCAGGACAGGAAGCCTGCTGCGTGACACGCTTGCTCCTCTCTCTATCCGCCTCTCTCTCGTCCCGCCTCTCATACATCTTTCTAGATGGCGCTGCTTTACGCTCACGCAACATCCTTCCTATTTTATTAAAAGATACAATGAAATTGAATACAACATACCTTACAAGAACACGTTAAAATAAAAAGAAGTCTCGAAAACGCGAGTTAGGTTTCTGGTCTCGCTCTGATCTTCGCGGAGACCTATTCTCATTGTTACTGTCTATTTCGCCGCACGCTGTCTCGTTTTCCCGCAACTCACCTATCCCCTCATTTTTTGATTGTTCCAAGTTACAATCCATAAACGGTTCTTCAGCGCTTCTGTCTAAATCAGAGCTCGGCAAAAAATGCACGCGACGGCCGATTTTCGACTATCTCCGCCCACCGCTGTTCCCTTTACCTCGCCACTCCGCATGTTGCCCACAAGCCGCTCGAGCCTCAGGAGCGTGTTTCCAACAGTTTTCCACGTCACCCATGAGGTACTATTGTTGACGCGTTTTTTTTTAAGTGGTATCCCCAGTAGGCCTAATCCACTGATGACTGTAACAACCCGTAACTAATTGAACAGAAGCGAAATAAAATATGTTAAATGAAGAATATTTAATTCGATTTTCGGCGTCTTTTATTAGTAAGAGCGGAAACGTCAATTTGCATATTTCATGTAGCGAGCCGCATAAGACGTGGTAAGGAATCGTCGTTTAAAGAAGAACGCTTCTCATTTTTTTTAAACTTCATTTTTGAAAATGAAGTTTATTTTTGAAAATGAAGTTTATAAAAAATGAGAAGCGTTCTTCTTTAAACAACGATTCCTTACCACGTCTTATGCGGCTCGCTACATGAAATATGCAAATTGACGTTTCCGCTCTTACTAATAAAAGACGCCGAAAATCGAATTAAATATTCTTCATTTAACATATTTTATTTCGCTTCTGTTCAATTAGTTACGGGTTGTTACAGTCATCAGTGGATTAGGCCTACTGGGGATACCACTTAAAAAAAAACGCGTCAACAATAGTACCTCATGGGTGACGTGGAAAACTGTTGGAAACACGTTCCTGAGGCTCGAGCGGCTTGTGGGCAACATGCGGAGTGGCGAGGTAAAGGGAACAGCGGTGGGCGGAGATAGTCGAAAATCGGCCGTCGCGTGCATTTTTTGCCGAGCTCTGGTCTAAATCATCGTTTACAATTCGTTCGTCTCTATCCTCTCTACTTGTCTATCCAAATCGGAGCCTGATGTTCGCTTTTTAGATGTTGTTTATATCTAGCTGGTATTAGATGCCACCGATTTCGTCGTAAAACACTGCCTTTTTCGGTTTTTACTATATACGCATTTGGGTTACTATTGTATAAATATAATCTATTGTTACAACCTTTGCATATACCTGCAAATCTATGACCCATACGGTGTCGTTTACTTCAAGTTTTGGTAGAGGTTTAGAGCGGTGTCTCTTGTTATAATTGCACTCTTGTTTATTCTTTCTTTTTACTTCTGTTTCTATGACTTTGTTATGTTCTATGAAAAATCCTAATTTATCTGGTAGTAGTGGTACGCGTGAATGAATTTGTCTAGAAAACATAAGTTGTGCGGGGGAGAATCCGTTCTCTAGAGGCGTAGTTCGATATGCTAAAAGTCCTAAATTTATATTGCCGTTAGATTTTTTTATGATAGATTTTGCTATTTTTACTGCGGCTTCCGCGGCACCATTACTTTGCGAATACTTTGAAGAACTAGTTACATGTTTAACACTTTGCCGGCCGCTTACTTCTCGCATCGCCTTTACGCTGCCGCCGGCGAATTTCGCGCGGGTTCTACTGCTCGCCGACGGTCATATTAAAGAATGTCAAGAAAAGACAATCGGGATAGTTAAAACAGAAACATAATGGAAACATTGTTGCCGCGCTGAACCGAAGTCACGCGTACATGACAGCGGCCGATAACCGTCGGCGAGCAAAAGTCACGCGTACGTGACAGCGGCCGGCAAAGTGTTAAAATCAAAATCGCTCGCAAAACGACGGAATTCGGATGCGAACTGTGTGTCACAGTCGCTGCGTACGATTTCTGGAATACCGTATCGTGCAAAGGTTTGTTTGCATTTCGTTATAATTTCTTTCTCAGTTAGCGTCCTTAATGGAAAATCTCGAAATATCTTGAGTAATAATTTACTATAATTAAGTACCATGTGTTCATCTTATTGAGTGAGTGCAAAAGTTCGTGCGGAGTTTCAATAGATGGAGTTATAAGCGTCGTAAAGTGTTGTCATTAACTTCCATCTGCATATTATATAACGTTGGAAAGGTGACGTCTTCAGCTGTTATTAAAAAAAAAATCATTTGTTTCCATACAAACTGCTTCGAGAAATATCACTTTAAAAATGAGTATCGATAAGGTGTATTTACGGCATGTTATGCTTTACGAGTTTCGGAAGGGAATAAACGTTGCCGCAGCCGTAAAAACATTCAGGATGTTTATCAGGATGAAGCACCAGCTAAACGAACTGTGTAAAAATGGTTTGCTAAATTTCGGCGCGGAGAATTTAACCTTGAAGACGAGCCACGCTCTGGTCGACCTTCTGACATTGATGACGATGTTTCGCGTACTTTAGTGCTCAATAATCCGCGAATTTCAACAGAAGAAGTTGCTACAGCACTAAATGTTGACCGATCAACCGCTTTTCGGCGTTTAAAAAAGATGGGATTCGATTTGAAGCTCGATATATGGGTGCCCTATTTGCTGACCGAGAAGAACAAAATCAAGCGAATTTCTGCAGCCGTTTCTTTACTCGGGCGGCTCAATAACGAGTCGTTTTTGGATCGACTAGTGGCGGGCGATGAGAAATGGGTCCTCTACAACAATGTTCAGCGCAAACGGACATGGAAACAATCAGGTGAGCATGGTAACGCAATGCCAAAGGCCAGTTTGCACCCGATGAAGGTGATGTTCTCTGTTTGGTGGGATTGCAAGGGCATAATCTATTTCGAGCTTCTCCCCGCTGGCGAAACGATTGATTCGGACAAGTACTGTCGCCAATTAACCAATCTGAATCGAGAAATAAAAGAGAAACGTCCGATTTTGTCAAATCGCAAGGGAGTCGTCTTTCATCACGACAACGCCAGGCCACACGTTTCGAAAAAGACGCTGCGCAAACTGAAGAGCCTGAAATGGGATGTCTTAACGCATCCACCGTATTCTCCTGATATCGCACCATCTGACTATCACTTGTTCCGGTCATTGCAAAATTATTTAAATGGAAAAAACTTTGACTCTTTGGAGGCCTTAAAAAACGGCGTCTCTTCGTTCTTCGAATCTAAACCGCGCAGTTTTTATGATCGAGGCATCCGTATGCTGCCAGAACGTTGGGAAAAGATTATAGAAAACGATGGGGAATATATCATTGATTGAATAAAGATTTTTGTTTGCCTAATCACTGTGTGACTTTTACTCACAAACTCCGCACGAACTTTTGCACTCACCCAATACTTTTCGATTTCTCGAACAGCTATTACCTCTTTCTCAGTCTACTAGGACACAGGGATCCACTTCTGACACCATGTATCGGGTCGACCTTTGGAGCAGGAAAATAAAGAGAATCCTCAGCGTAGACTCAGGACAGGAAGCCCGCTGCGTGACACGCTTGCTCCTCTCTCTCTCCGCCTCTCTCTCGTCCCGCCTCTCACACACTTTTCTAGATGGCGCTGCTTTACGCTCACGCAACAATTTTAATGTCAAATTACCTTTTCACTGAAATCTCTGTAGTTATGCATGTTTCAAAAAATTCGGATCCTACTTTTAGCGCTTGTTCGCGCGTAGAAATTTGGCGAACGCGCGCCGGGACCGCTTCGCTCGAAGCACGAGAGGGGATTGAAAGAACAGCAGAGGACTGGGTGCACCAAAAAAAAAGAAATCTCTTTTATAGCGGCGGGATGTGATTAAATACGTTTATTTCTGCCGATTCACAATAATCCGAACGCCGGTAAAAGTCCGTAGGAGCGACGAGCGGTTGAATCTCGCGTCGGATGCGAAGTTCGTGCGCGTCGGGTGATCGGCGTGCCCGGCGACCAGAAACGATAGTCGGCGGAGGACGGCACAACGTTTAACAAAGACTCACGGTACGAGACGATAAGATTTACGGTGAATTGAG